GAAGGTAAGTTACATGAAATGATTTATTTTGGGTACAGTTTGAGTGGATTTGTGGCAATAAAAATGGAGGTTGGAAAACCAAAAGGACACATTAACCAAAAGTGAAACAGGAGATAGCGGCAATAGCAAACCACAAACAAACCCATTTCTTAAACTAATCTGATGCAAATTTTTCCATGACACTGAAACTTAGCCTGTCTGCTGGTCACCATACTCTTTCCTGTTCAGACACTAAGAGTAGGAGGTACCAATTTCTATTATCCTATCTCTCAACCAACTTCATACCATATATCACATTCTTTCGCTCTATTATTCACTCTTCCAACTACCTTTATTCAAACTATTCAACTACATTACAGATTATTAGATTGTTCACAGCTTATCATTTTATTATTAAGTTTATAAAAAAAATTAAGAAACACAACAAATTAATTAATTAGTTATCATAAATAAAAATAATGTGATGCCATTAATTTTAAAGATAATAATTAAATTTATATTTGTTAGAACCGAATTTTTCTATTCAAATCTAACGAAAAAAATTGAGTTAATTAAAATAGTAACGAGTTTGAATTTTTTTCACATTAAAAAATTAGAGACAAATATGGATAATAAAATTCTTGCTTACTTTTATTCTTATCTTAACTTTATATTTAAATTTAAATTTTAAAGTATTTTTTTTCCTCACATTATATAAAGTTTTTATTTTTTTACCTACTTTTTACTCTTTTATTTTTTTTCAATCTCTTAAATCAATAGGTTCATTATATTATTATCTTCTTTTCTTTTTGTTTATTTATATTTCCTTAATCTCTCCAAATAATATAATTTTTTCAATCTTTTCATTCAAATTTGATTTTTTCAATCTCTTCAACCAATTTCACATATATAATTTTTTTCTTTATTTTTTTCTAAATATTCTATACCAATCTTATTAATAACTAATATTATTTTATTTTAATTTTTATTATATCATCATTTTTTATTTTATTATTATTTGTCATATATCAATTTTTATTTTAATAAAATAATTATATCTTAAAAAATTAAAAGTAATTAATAATTATTTTTATTACTTTAAACTAGTTAAATAAGAATTAGTTTATTAAATATTTTTTCATAAATTATATATTTTATATTTATTAATATTTTAAAATGATAATTTAAAAAATAATAAATTTATACCTACCTTAAAAAAATAATTATATCTTTACGAAGTAAAAGTATTATTTTACGTACATATTATAGATATAAATTTTAAAGTTTTTACTTAATTAATAATAATAATTAAAAGTTATAAAAATATAAAAATAAATTTATTATAAGTATAATTATTTTTAAAAAATAATATAAAATAAAAATGAGTCGGTAGAAAAAATTTAAAACTCAAAAAAACAAAAATAAAAACTTAACTTTCAATATTGACAGGGATCAAGAACAATTAAAAAAAAATTGAAAGCAAGAATTGGGAAGACAAAACCTGTCTCCAACTCGGTTTCGGCCCTCACCTTTGTCCTAATTAATTTACTTATTGAACAAAATAAACTTAAATATTTGGTCCATTTTTATTAGAGGACTAATTCATTCCATGACCGAATTATGAGGTGGTCACACCCAATTTTTTTTATATATATATATAATTATTAAATAAAATTAAATAAAAAATAGTTTATAAATATTAATAAATTTTTTTTCTCACCTTTTCACCTATAATAAGTATTATCTATATATGATTTTTCACTTCCATTTTTTCTCTCCTCTCCTCTGGATCTTCAAACTTTTATATTTTTTCTCTTTTACATCTTCACTTTCCTACTATGACTTTCTTATATCATTCTTTTTTTCTTTTTTTTAATCACTTGTGCACTTTCCAACTCTTCTATTTCTCGATTTCACTGTACAATATAAAATTTATAAATTTGTTCTTTAATTTTTATCTTTTACCGTTTCATATTTATAACAGAAAAAATTATAACTTTTTGTTATTTAGTTTTTTTCTTTTTTTTTTTCACGTTAGAAAATACAAGTTAAGAAATAAATGAGATAATTTATAATATTTTTCTTGAAGTAAAGAAACATTAATCAAATCTATCTTTTTTATTTATTATTATAACAAATTACATATATGATGAGTATAGTATGAAAATATAAAATATTTATATAATTTTTTATTATTATAAATTAGTTATTTCTTTTAATATTTTATTATGTTTTATTTTAATGTTAAAATGTGAAAAAATAATCAAATTAAACTTTAAAGATGTCAAAAAAAATATAAGCTCATTTTTTTAAGAGAAAATAGATGATACATGATAAAAAGTTATATCATAAATTAATAGAAGCTAGAAAATCCAATATATATAATATAATTTGTAGATTGATTTGAATTATTTTACCTCATTCTATCTCTACATTAATAAAACTTGTATTTTCAATTATGAAAGTTATTAAAACAAGGTAAATGATTTTCTTATTTATTATATTATTATTTACATTAAAAATATGAAACGTGAATAATATTGAAATATATTTAACCTCTTATTCATAATTTTTAATAATTTAAGATGATATATTTATTTTTATACGAAAATATCGTTTAAAATTCTTAGTTATACCTTAAATAATTTCATATATTTTAGCGAAGGGACCAAGATATATTGGTTATTCATTAATAGTCAATGTTATGTTTCGGTTATGCAACTATCAAAGTCTTCCATCTACCATACCATATTATTATTCATAAAAAAGTTAATCAATAATTTTGTTTCCCAACACTCTTTTAATAAAAGTCTAGAATTTATCTCTGGATTGATATTTTTAAATCTGTTAACAAACACACTTTCAAATTTAAATAGAATGTATAAACTAAAATATCATTATTTAAAATATTAAATAATATTTATAAAATTGATTAAAAAATGAATTAAGTTATGAATATATATATATATTAAAAAAATATTTTTATGAAAAAATAAGTTCAAAAATTCAGACCAAACAGAACATTAATTCCTCTAAGATCCAACTTGAAAGTTTTGGTCCATAACATAACACCATTTTCTAAATGAATGGTTGGAGCCTCCATTGGGCCTACCAATTGACATGCATTCAACGTGAATTAACATGACCATCAATTTACTTTATTTTAACCTTAATCTCTTTTAAAATGTAAACTAAAAAACTGGATCCTTCACATGTAATTGTTTCATACCTCTTTCCATTATATTAGAACGATGAAAATAATGTTTAAATTTTCTTTGATTTTTTTGAAAATTTTATTTAGAATGTATTAAAAAACTTTCCAATAACATAATTTAGAAACATTATAAAAAAAAGAAGAAATTAATTTTGGAATCAATTTTGAAATACATAGTTCATGATCAGTATTTAATTATTTTAAATTATTAATTTCGAAATACTTTATAATAAATCTATTATTAGTGAATAACATTTGTAGAACAATTAAAATCTAGTTTGAACGGTTATGAAAACTTAAAACTTTACCAAAAAACAACATTCCGAAACACTCATTTTCTAACATGTGGTGGAAGCAATTATAGAGGTGCATGAAGCACCTGCCCAACCTAAACAGAAATGAACAAGTCCAACCCAAAATAGAAATCTCCAAGCCCAACCCGTTATGCACTCCCATACTTTAATATCTATCAACCATACATAGTTTTTACAGGCACCCATATAATTAATTCCCTATTACTCAGCTTTGAAATTATACATAAAAGGAATAATAATTCAACGATGAGATAAAATTAAAGTTTAAAATATTTATTTATAAAACAAATACAATTCTGAATATTTGTGATTCTTAAAAAATGGAAGCTTCTCAGAGTGTGAAGGGATGATGTAAAATCGTCCCATATATGGAAAAGTGAAAAATGATTACGTGACAACAAGTGTCCATTCAGCTGAGCTACTTGGCGTATATGCCTTTGTGTTCAAACAGCAACCTTAAAGTGTGATTTTATTTGTTGTAAAATTCTGATCACAATTCAGTTTGTGTTGTGGTTTTCTAACTTTTTAGCTGTAATTGATTTCTGCAATCTAGAAAGACTCGATTTTGTTCCTGTCTTCTTCCCTCTTCACACGATCGTCCAAGACTGACCTTATTTTTTTTCATTCCAACTCTTCTTCAAATCTGGGTATCATCCTCATTCACTTCATTCCTCTTTATGCTTGTATTGTTTGTGCTTTCACTTCTTTTTGCTGGGTTTCTCTCCAACTATTTTATAGAACTTTCTACTCCTCTTAAGAATCGATTGTTTTTGTTTTGTTCTCTTTGTGAATCTTCTGAATCCCATCTCCCTTAACTCATCTAACAACCCCATCTTATATTTATCTAAGTTGTGATTATTGAAATTATCTGAATCGGGTTGATACCTTTTATCATATCCGCGAGTTATCAATTTTTGGGTTGGATCATGGTTTCTTGTTGGATGTCCCCTTATTTTTCATATACTTCTGAATGCAGACCTTTTGTTACTCTTTACTTTCGAATGTTTTCTTAGGTCAATAATAAATCATTGCTTAAAACTGACGTAACACTGTCAATCAAGGCTGCATGCCAATTTTCTGGTATTTGAAATGATAGCAATACATGCATACTTAAATATGCGGCTTAGAATTTTCTGTGTTATGCATCGATAGTAAATTATGACATGTGGCATCAGTTCTTATCTGGAACCACTGGCTATTGTTGCATCCCAGCCAAATTTCTAAATAATTAGAGTGACAAATTAAATATGCTTTATTCTTTCCTTGACCCTATCTCATATTCTCCCTTATTGATTTAGGCCTATCACATGATTTTCGTAATTATAAGCTTTTATACTAGAATTTTAATTGTAATTGAAGATCTTGCTTAGTGACAACTTGGATACCAATGTTTTGTAGACATCAGTGCTCTGAAAGATTTCTGGTGTTGTTGCAAACATATTTCACTTCTAGCAAATCCTGCTCCTTCCTAGTTCCTAAGAGTTGATAGGAAAATGCAATTGTATCATCATCCATTTGATTTGGACAGCCAGAGGGTGAGACTTGCGTTGGAGGAGAAAAGCATTGATTATACATCACACCATGTCAATCCCGTAACTGGCAAGAACTTGGATTCTTCATTCTTCAAGATGAATCCCGGTGGAAGACTGCCAGTTTTCCAAAACGGCTCCCACATCCTTTACAAGACTATTGATATAATCCAGTATGCTCTCTTTACAACTTATTCACTATCCTCTTAATGTTATTTCTTCCTGAGTACATGTGTAAATAAGAAATTTCTCTTTGAAGATTTATGCAGCATTAGAAGTAACCCCCCACCAAAACAAATTTAGCTGACACAGATCCCTTGACATATTTATCAAGAAACAGATTCTCTCATGTCGAGTTTCCACATGACCATATCAAGTGAAAATTTTGTGTCTCTCTTCATAGAAATTAAATTGGTTCGATATTTAAATTGGTGTATGTTTTAAGAGAGATACACAAAATTTTCAACTGATACGGCCACGTGGAAATTCAAATTCATTTAACCTAAATGTTGATGTTGAATTACTTGCAAATGCTTTTGTTGTGACTTGCTAGTGGACATTTATTGTTGCATTGGATGTTCAGGTACATAGAAAGAATTGCTGTGTTCTCCTCTGGGTCTGAAAATATCAGTAGCAGTAGCAAGGAGGTGATTGAATGGATGCAGAAGATACAAGAGTGGAATCCTAAGTATTTTTCCCTTTTTCATGTACCAGAGAAATACAGGATATATGTTTCTAAGTTCTTAAGGAGAGTGGTGATTGCTCGAATGTCTGAGTCTCCCGAATTAGCCGGTGCTTACCATAGGAAGTTAAAAGAAGCCTATCAGACTGAAGAGAAATTGAAAGAGTCAGATGTGTTGATAAGGAGCAAGGAGCATTTGATCAGACTGCTTGATGAAGCAGAGAATCAGCTGAGTGAAACGCCTTATTTAGCAGGTCAAGAGTTTACTATGGCTGATGTGATGCTCATTCCAGTTCTGTCTCGTTTAGTACTCTTGGAATTAGAGAATGAGTACATAACTGGGAGGCCAAATATTGCTGAGTATTGGGTTTTGGTTCAGCAGAGGCCTAGTTATAGGAAGGTGATTGGTAGGTATTTTGATGGTTGGAAAAAGCACAAGACATTGTTAAAAACTTGGTGCTTTGTTCGTGTTAGAAGTTTCCTGAAGAGATATTAGTGAGGTACATGTTGCTTGCCAAAAGGAAGCTGCGTAAGTGAATATATGAAAGAGCTTTTGTGTGTGTTGTAGATAAGGAGTTGTTATAATAAACCTTGATTGTTTTTTCCCTTTTTGGTTACAACTGTCATTTTTTTTAAGAGAGAAAAGGGAGATTCATTTTTCTTTCTCCCTTGTCAAATGGTGATGCTAGATACTAAGCTTGGAGATGAAGAGATGCATGTTAGTGGTCAGTCTCCAAAAAATCTTTGGACTTGGTTGGTGCTGAAACAACATAAGGTTGTCATCTTCGTTCATTCTCAAAAGAAGAGGCAAATTTGAATTTGTTCAATCAATTAGCAATTTCTGTGCCATGTTATATGGGAATAATTCCTTCCTACGAGAATTGTTACTTGTTTTGTGTACACTTATTTTGGTATTTGTAAATGCAATAGCTACAATAAAGTGCTCATTTCACACGTTTCTGTCTCCTAAACAGATTCCTCTAGTGTTCTACATTTTCTTCTTGGTGTGTTGTATGATCGTCAAAGATCAAACTAAGTTTAAGTTTATAATAAAATTCTCATTGCTTGAAAATGTATATAAGATAAAAGAATTTAGTCTACATTTTTTTTTTAACATTTTCAACATAATTATGTTTAAAAAAATGATTTATAAAACTCTTTAACCGTTATTTTTAAAATTTGATTGGAGTGTCTGATTCGGTCAATCAGACTAAAATCAGTTCAATAATCCATTTGGTTACATAAAAAAGGTCGATTCTAATTAGAACTAGAGTAGAAAAATGGTTTAAATTAGTTCATCTAAAAAATATGTTTATGTTTAATTTAACATATTTCAAAGATACACAGAAGTACATATTCAAGAAGGATAACGAATAGAGATAAATTGTATTTATCAATTATTTATTAATTCTTTATCTTGTAATTTTAAATTGATTATTGTTAACATACACTATTGAACTCTTCTGCAAAGCATAATGTATTGAGATATATTTGCCGGGGAGGAATAAGAACGGAATAACTTTAAAATAAAGTTGCAAACCATTAACCATTTATGATCTAGAAGAAAAAAGGAAATTACCCCCATAAAAAAACTATAAACATTTCTTCCCAAATTCTCAAGACATTATAACAACTCCGAAAGCTTTGAAGCATATAAAAACACATTGTATCCTAAAAAAAACAAAACAACTTTAAAATATAATTTTAATTAAATAAATAATCTTTTGGATTCAAATAATAAATTAGACATACCAAGCGAATTAATAATTATTCTTATTTGTAATTAAAGGAACAGTCAAACAATATTGTCTTATCAGTCATCAATGCAGTGTTGTGCATCACCATTAGAGGTTTCCAATTTTCGAGAGAATTAAAAGTCAAGAGAAATAACGCCCATCTTTGGGCAGATCGGTCTTAGGAACAAGAATCTCCCAGGTAGTGTAGAAAGTGAAGGAGGGGAAAACTAAAATTGAATGATATTTTCATTGAATAATAGATTCAGGAACGAATGAATTGACAGTACATTAATGCATATGGAAGAAAAAAGAAAACAAAAATAATTTCTTTTTCCTGTGAACAATATTGCTGCTGTGCATGCTAATAAATATTATTGTCACCGTTCTCCTCTCTACAGATTGCATCCTCCGCATCACAAGTATCTTCTGACTCTTTTGGTACATCTACAACTATACTGCACATATCACCATCAGAATTGTTCTCATTACATTTCCATGCATTCCTCCGGAACCATGGTCGATCTATTTTTGAATTATTCCATTTTTGTTGTCTATAGTACTTCCTTACCAAATCATGGGATTCACCCTTCAATCGTTTAGCTATGTGTTCATTATCCTCGAACAGAAGGTCAGAGTCCCCAGTGTTAGCACCAGTTGTGCTGGGAATCATATCATCTGCGCTACAACTGACCATACCACTGGTATCACCCTCATTAACATCAGCAGACTGGTCAATAATCATAGCTTCAGCAGGCTGATCAATTATCATAGCACTACTATTATTAGTAGGTTGACAGTCTTTGTTGTCCCGAGGATATGGGGGTAGGGGAGGAAATGGGTTGAAAGGCATGCCAGGTGCAGTAACCCAACACTCTGGAAATTCAGTATGAGGTGTTCCATATTGCTGGGTAACAGACCATGGCATTCCATATGACACAGGCAAGCGAGAGTTAAATTTCTTTTTTGGATGACCAATGACAAAATCAGAGGGACATCCAGATCGGCTTGCATTTTGTAATGCAAGATTACTAGAGTTCAGGGAAGCATTTAATGGACCTATTGGACACGAAAACCCTGGTGGAACATCCTCATGAATGTTCTGGCTTTCACCAATAGAGCTCATAACGGCATCAGATAGCAAGTTTGTCTCTGCTGGTTGATCCCACCGGCTCTTACGCTTCCGCTTTTTAGCCCCTTTGATTTCAACCCCATCTAGAGTGCGGGCGGGACAGCTGTCTTGGGTATCAGCATCTACTGGATTTGTCACAAGCATCGACTGCTGACTACAGTCAATTGCATCTGTAGCCCTTAAATCCTGCTCATGCCTGTGACTGTGTGATGCTGAAAATCTGTTACCGTTGAAACTTCTGTGGGATTCCATTCTATTATCATCCCTGTCCAAATAGCCATGTTTTCTGATGGGTCTGGGAAACCATCTGTCTCGGAAGCTTCGAGCAATTTGATGGACCTACACATACAAACAAAACAATGAAAATATTCAATTTCTTGTCCCCAAAACAGATATTATACACAAATGAAATGGTTAAAAAAGCCTCTAAAATGCATATTTCTTGGCACTAGTGTACACAATAGAGATGAACAAGTTAGCATAACATATACCTGTTTGTCGTCATGCTCTGTCAGAGAAAGCATTGACTCCCTAAAGCTGAACATAAAAACAAATTATTAATAAAAGAATACAAGCTTAGAGATTAACAACAATTTCGTCAAATTTATAAGGAAGAAAATAGGGTGATATTCATTTGTAAGAAGAAAAAATTACATCATATTTTCAAGTAAAAGTAAAAGTGCAAATGATTAGAAGATTGGCAGTAATGAAATACTTGATTCCACATTAGGGATTCAAGACACAAACTACAGAAGGGTAGACAATTTTGTCTTGTTTCCAACAATTGACAAGTGATAATGTTATCAATTGAATTAGAATGAAACAAAAATCTACGTACGAGACATGGGTACCAAAAATTACAAAAGCTTCAATCCTGATGGGAAGAATTAATCTACAAGACTGACATTCTATTAGGATAAGACTTCAGAGGAGTTAATTAGGAAAAAGAAGAATAGAAGGGTTCATTCAGATAAGTTGTCATTTGTAAATTGAGCATTGGCTCTTTGCAGAGGGGAAACCCCTAGAGGAGAACTTTCTCTCGTATACCTAGTTCCTTTCATCCTATTTAATGAAATATTTCTACACATTTGGCCAAGAAGCAAGGGCTGCTCATCTTTGCGAGGGCAGACCCTATTGGAATTCATTGAAGTTCAGGAAATTCATTTATCTGATAGGGTGTATGATGCTTTGGTTCAGTTCCTACTGCCAAAAGATCCTAAATTCAGATTAGGAATAATTTTCCACAATAAAAGATTCAGAGACAGGTTTGGTAGCCATGCCTTTGAAGAATTGACTACCTTGAAACAAGAATAGCAAACTGAGACAGAAACCCTCATTAAGAAGTGGAGACAATCAAGAAACAAGGGATAATCATGGCAAAGGGAAAGACCAGGAGCCAAATTCTTGGCAAAGTGACAGAGTGTAACTTTAAGACTGTTGGGACCTGTTCTTGGGCAAGAAACGTGAGTGGCAGGATAAGCCTATTTAACTGATCCATCGAGAAGTTCAGCAAGATGCAGTAGATGAAGTCAACAGAGACAATACAGGAACAACCAAACACTGAGGTGAAGTCAAAACTTACTTGGTGCATGTAGATTGCATGACAATGGGAAAGTGGTGGAGCAACCAAATAAAGGATTCAGGTTTTGAAAATCATAGTCAGAGTAGAAACAAGTAATGAAGAGGAAAGGCCCTGTGGGAGACACAATGGACAGGCAAAGGGGGGAAGAGACAGTAACCACTTTCAATGTATGGGTTTCAACGATGATGGAGCCATGAAATTTTGGCACAACGATGAAACTGTCATCACCAGAACTCCCAAGTTAGATGCTGCAAAAAAAGGCCACCAGAAACCCGGTTACATATTGCCTACACATACATCCACCACCACTGGAGCCACCGAACACAAGCTTACATGTGGTTACTAAATCACTACTGGTAGAACGACCATGTTATAATGGACATTTTCCAATTGAGCCTCATTTTAAACCCAATGGGTGAGGCCCAAATTGAGTTTGCTCAATTTGGAAAGACAATTAGAGCTTTAGACTGAAGCATAGATGATGGCTAGCCCAAAATCATAAAAGGACTGAATTGACACCATATGTTTGGCTGAGGAGAAATTGTGCATACTTCATGAGAAGTGTAAAGTTGACTCTGCTCAAACATTCGTTGGGATTTTAGTAACAAAAATTTCAATCCAATTAGGTCAATATATCTTACACTAAATGCAAGTTGATGAAAGAGGAATTATGACCCGGGTCACAAAGTTCATTTTCAGGGCCACAAAGCTACAAAGCAACACAAGCCAAATTGATCCACAAGCATATTAGATATGAAGAGAAGAAGGAAAGAAGGGTACATTAAGAAAAGTTGTTATTTGTAAATTGAGCATTAGCCCGTGGAGAAGAAATTTCTCTCCTACTCCTTGTTCATTTCATCCTATTCGATAAAAGTTATTTTCTTTCACATTCTAATTCTTGGTTTGTAATACATTCTTTAATATCTCAAGTACAACAAGAATAACAATACTTATCGATTACTACTAAAAATGTCAAAAAAAAAAAGAAATTGTAAGAGATTCTACATCTCCCCACTATCCCTATAACATCTTTTAGTCATTCATTATACTTGAAAACAATCACTATATTAAGGTTAAACAAAAATCAAACGATCAATTGATTTAATTCCCTCCTCCCAAATGTGGAATAGGATAACGTTGGTGACTTCATGTAAACATATTTCATGCTTCCAACCACTTGACAATAACCTTTTTTTTATTTATGTCAATCATATTCATACTAGCCAAACAAAAATAGGTCATAAAGAAAAGTCATAGATGAAAACTGCTACAAAATTCAGTGCTAAAATACAACAAAGAACTTTTAACAAATATTACAATTGCCTCAGTAAATTGGGGGAGTAGGATATAATTTAAAAATTTCTGACCTCTCCATTCCATGACAAGGAGGACCGCCATTAATATGTTCAGGTGTCAAAATCTTGCTTGCTGCTAGGTACTCTAAGACCTGAAAAATAAAAAAGGTGATCCGGGCCATATATTTTCTTAATACTCACTTAGAATGAGAAAATGAAGAAAGATGAACAACACAAAAAAGGATTAGTTAGGATCTGCCAGCCATCAACTTATTGAATAAAATAGGATGGTCAAATTTATCCACCTAATCATAATTACGTGATTGAACATTCCAGGTAATGGAGAAAAATTGGCAAACACCAAAATGAAGTGGAATAAAATATATTATCATTGTGCAAATGTCACAATGTTGCTATTGGGCAGAAGTTGCAAATACATTTTTATGTTTAGGCAAATAGAACAAATAGCATCGTAACAATCATATAAAATAGAGAATTCAACACAAAATGAAGTCTCTCAATAAGAAGTTTCAAGAAATTCATTTTTAAGTGGATTTAAAATACTATAATTCAGTATAACTTTCTGGGTATCCAATCCAAAGAAATTTAAAATGAAGGAAATTTTCCATGGATTTTTTTAAGCAAAATGAAAAGATTTCAAACAAGTCCTAAAAGAGAAATTCCTTCAGTCTTCCACAATCTCACTGTGGACTCTCACTCAAAAACTTTGATGTGAACAATATCTTTACCACACTCTCCCCCCTCCTTCTCCCTTCTGAACCTCTCTCATTCTGTTCCTCTCCCTTTCTTCCAAACTTCTTTCACATTCCTTCTAAATTTATTTGAAGCAATTTAATTCCCATGCATTTAAACCCCTTCAGAATTTTTAGTATAAAAGAAATCCTTAAGAATTTTGAATCTCTCTCTCTCTCTCTCTCTCTCTCTATATATATATATATATATATAACAACTTGTAGTCAAAAGGAATATAGCAAAAACCTAAAATATGAGTAATCTAAGCACCTTAAGAAGCTTTCGTAGTATTGGAATTTTTTTGAAGTCCAGCCTGTACTGCTTCATAATATTATGTAACATCTGTAAACCTGAAAGGCAACGGTATAGTTACTTTGACAACCAACCAAATGTGCAGTGAGTTTTACACATTTCAGATATATGACGAGAAAACTGCATTACATAGAAAGCAAATATATATTACCATTTTTGCTAATTATATCATTCAGCACTGCTCTAGATTTTGTTTTCAGAAGGGCATCAAGTATCATGGAAAGATCTCGATTACTGCAACCAAAGTTTAAAATCTCTTTTACAAAGTATTTACATGTCCATGAAGCATGAGAAAAAAATCAAAGTGTATATAACTGTGCTTGATGAAGAAAACATTAAAGGCAGAGAAGAGAGGACCTTTGAATTGCTTCACCGTTGCTTCTATCACCAGATGCAACAGTGAGAAATAAAAGCTTCAAGTAACCTTTGGTAGCATCCTGTTCAGAGAAAAAAGGTGAGGGTAGTCAAATGGTGAGAACTAAAACATAAAGCCACCCAGGTAGCTAGCCCTATAATACCTCTAACATAAAGCCATCCAAAAACAAGTAGCAACATTGGAAAAAAAAAGACAAACTATTTCTCATAATTGATTACAAAACAAATAAATTTAAGGTTTACAGCAGTGGAGGTTGATATCTCTTGCTTTCTTGCATAACCAATATTAACTGTGAAAAAGAAACTGGAGCACACATGCATGCATAGCTTCCAATTATATGAACCTATTAGAAATATTATGTACCTTTCTTTTGCTTATTCCCCCATCTCCATCCAACAACTCATTAAGTTTCTCCTGAACTGCAAGTAACAAAAAAAAGGTTCATCCATTAAAAATGATTTTAACGACCATGTTACTAAACAAATGAGGATGACCAACCTGCTTCAAACCGTCCATTGGAAGAACCTTCAACTTTTTTGTGTTTGATAGATGACAACTGCAATCGATTCGCTGTCATCTCAGCTTTGAGGCCATTTGGAGGATTAGCATTAACCTTTCCCTTTTTAACAGAACTATTTGACTTAGGAGTCTTCCTGCCTTCATTTATTTCAGACTTGGACTCCCTATTACTACCAGTAGAATTGGACAACATTTTGCTAGCAGTTGCATGGGAAGAAGTAGTCTCTAATCTTTGAGTAGAAGAAGTTTTGTCTGGAAACTCTGATTCCTTTTCTTTTTCTTGTTGTACAGCAAGCATGGGTTTGCTTGTTACATCCTCCAATTGTTCAGAAATTTCTTCAACTCGGACAGAGGATGGTAACTTGCCCTTTGAATCCTCCTCCATTTCTGCTGAGCTGTGCAACAGAGAAACAGCAGAGGCAGGGTTCATGGAACTTTCTTTCTCTGGAAAACCACCTGAATCTACAGCATTTTTAGACTTTTCCAATATATCCCTTTCTTTTAACATATGTTTAGCAGATTGTGTATCAACATTATTAAAATACTTGGGTGTAGCCACTCCATCCTCAATTTCACCATCTTTGGTAAGCATAACAGGTTCTGGAAATTCTTCTTCTGAATCACTTTGAACTATCAGTTCAGCTTTAAGTGGATCACCACCACCTATATAACCTCGACAACTAAGTGAACCACAGTAACATTTTTTCGCAGCAGCACCAAAAACTCTTACATAGTTGTAGTCAAATGTCAATTCTTCATCCTGGGGAAGGTGGTGGTAAAAAAGTTCATTTTGGCAGCGAATAATACATACACATGTTACAATCCAATAAAAAATTAATCCAAACAATTAGTTTCCTATTCCAAAACTTATAGGTATGACAATAGGACCTACAAGTTTACAAACTAACCACAAATCTTCTACCTTAGCCGCCCCCCCTCCCCCCCAAAAAAAAGTTAAGGAAAGTTCTTCACTATATATAAAGAGAATTCAAATTGATCTATTTTATCAACCTTGTGAATGGTTGTTAACCTTGTATATCTAACAATGTTCACAAATACTTCTGCATAGGAAACAAGCATGAGACAAATACTGTTCTCTCTTGAAAATAATAAATACGAGTAAAGAGACCAACAAAGCATAAATGGGTAGGACGGATCCAGTACAAGCAAGAAATTAAATGACCAATGAAAACTTTTTTGGAGTGGAATAACTTAACTCTATGGGGAAAAAGAGCCATAACCATTAATCATCCAACCTTCTATTCAATTAAGCATTTCTGGCTCAAATGGCCAAATATTTTATATTTCATCTGTTGTGGAAAGGAAGTATAACCAACATTTTCATATTTTTAAGTACAAAATTATGTAAAGAGATTCACATTTTCCCACACGTTTGATAATCATAATGCACAACAGACATGCACACAAGAAAAGAAATAGATGTTAATAAGGTCAAACTTGGAATGTCAAGTTTGAAACGTAGATGCAACAATGTTCCACAACAATAAACTGCAAAATCTACTAGAATTAACAATTCACACACGAAAGTAGTAAGTGGAAGCAGAAGGCACACCTTCTTAATATCCCTCAATGCAAAGAGTCCGATACAGATTTCTCCATTCACCATCCACTGTTTAAAAAAAGGATCAAACACAAGGACAAGTAATTGAAAGCAACAGATTATGTGCAAAATGGAATTAATAATATGTTCACGAAAAGCTTACATCTACATTTCCTGGTAATATAGAGGCAGAATGCAAAGCACAAAGTAGCAAAGAAAAAGTTCCCAATAAAAATTAAAAGAAAAAGGCTTCAATAGTAGTAGTATCATTGCTTTTATTAAATAAACCTATAAAAAAACAGGTAATAATACTCACCTTTTCTGTACGACAATTAGGATCACAACTATGATTAATGAAACGCCCCAAGTTTCCTTTTGCACTTGCATCTATAACCTGAAAATAAGGAATTGTGAATCGTAAAGTAGTCTTTAACAACTACCATCTGAAAAAACTATTCATAATAGGGAGAAAATAACAATCACAATGAAAGAGCCAAATGATATCATTCCCAAGTCCCAACTAATGCTCAGCAGTAATGGTATGACACAAATAGCAAAAAAATTTGAAGCATGTTAACTAAACAGATGAGTTGATAGTTGTCCAGCATCCAGAGACAAACAATCACAAACCAGGTAAAAAAAAAAAAAAAACTCTGGATTAATCAAAAGTAGAGGTGTGGAAACCTCAAACAGCTATTCTTCAGTTCCAAAATATCCATTCATACAAGCTATGTTAGGACAGATGGGTAAAAGATATTTGCTTGGAAAAATAAATAAGGGTTTATGCGGCTAAGAACAGAAAGTTAGCAGGATTACTTAGAAAAATGAATTGGAGAATGGAAGGGTAAGAGGATCATTCAAAATTGTTATTTGTACAATTGAGATGGTTTTCACATTCAAAATTATAGGATGGCAGAGTAAGTTCCTTTCAAAGGCAAGGTTTTCACATTGAGATGGTCTCTGGGTCCCTAATTCTGTATCGAGACATTTCTAAAGGAAGGCAATATGGGTTACATCTTGGGTTCTTCTAAATTCCCATAGCACCTAGAAGGCCATGATATATAATGGAAAAGAATTCTATTCCAAGAAAATAGCTTTCTTCTGTTGAGAATTTCCACAGCACATGCACAGGAAAGCATTGAAAGAGAAGTTAATCGACAACTAGTAACTATTGATTCATGCAAACAATTGTGTTATGTAACATGATATCATGAACAAATCTATATGTACTTCCAGCCAAAAAATTCAAAGGTTTTTTTACTTTGCTAAAAAACAAATTCAGGTTAAATTCATACCTCACTGCCATTCAAGGTCATAAAATAGAAATGTCGATGACCCTTCAAAGCATATTCTCTTTGCCGTGCCTCGTACGATTGCATATCAAGCACCTGTTTGGAACCATATATTGGATATATAAGTACCTAAAGGTGAATGATGGGCACAAACTGTGCATCACCCTTGCATATACAACATAAATGCCCCAAAATAGAATAGCAGTTCAAATTCTAACTCTAGAAAAAAAAAACATAATCCATTAATTACAGAATCCATCCGATCTGCTTCAAGTACTCCTCCACCATTTACAATAAAAGTAAGTTGATTGTCAGACATAAGCTATTGTTTAGCCTCACAAGCATTCACTATCAATTTGAGTGGTTCTAAGTAGATCAAACCATCCTAATAAAGGAAACCCATGTTCTTTGTCCAGGAAGACTGATGGCTTTTTTTACATGGGCTACTGCATATCAATACAATATTCATTGCTTCCTACTCAAGCCAAATTGTTAATATTTTACCATGGCTCTTCAATGTTATTTAAAAAGTAATTCAAATAATGGAAAAAGAAGCAAGACAAACTATCTCCATTTTGATAATGCACATGCTAGTGATTTAACTAACACTCAGCAAAAAGAAATGCCTAGGGGGGAAGAAACAAATGGGAAGAATAGAGTTCAGTAAGACAAATTTAACATAACTGCACCTATAACTTCATAGAAGGTAATACTAAATCTTCCTTCCCCAAAAACTTAGCTAAAATAAGGAACTAGAGCATAAATATGATCCCAAAATTTTATATCCATCCTCAGCAGTCCATAGTTCCCGTATCACAACAAATTAACAAGTAAAATTGCTAAATTAGTAAAGGGAAAGTAAAGGAGAGATTTTGCGTGTTACCTCTCCAACGTATTCAATAAGAAACTGTCCTTGAGCTACATTGTCAAGTGCCTTTAGTCCATAACCCTTTTTCCCACATTTAAACCACCTCAGGCTAGCATACTTCCGTTTTTGGAACTGAAATCAATAATTTGTCTGACAATCATGCCATTTTTCAATAAGACCAAATAATAATATATATTTAATAAAAAAATCATGTTTATAAACCTGCTGGTTGGAACATCGGTCCCCACACGGGCATGTTCCTTGCACACATTCAATATTAAGCATTCGATTTAGGCATTCATCCCCACAGCCCAACTTTCCTTCTTGAGGTGCCTTGCAATGACAGACCATTATCTGATACAAGTTCAAAGGAGTAATGAATTCAGAAATATAAAACTGATGCACAATTTTTAAATTCCAAAAAGCTTAATTGAAATCTAAGTGTTACTATATATAGTAGCAATCAAAATGTAGAGTGCAAAATCAAACTGTAAAATCAAACTGACAGAAACTGATGTAAAAGCAAACGATATATAGTAGCAATTGGAAGCAAGCCAACATAGCATGCAGTTCCACAACGTGCGTAAGAAAAAAAATATAAGGTCAACAATTCATCCCATCTTCTACAGAGCACATCCAATGTATATTAAAAAAACAAAATAGTTAAAGTCATATTTAGGCAGGGGCAGAGCTACGTTGCTTCACAGAAAGAAGAGGGGGGATGGCCCAACCAAGTTTTTTAATTCCCTATTTATATGTAAACTTTTTAAATATAATATTAGACAAATATAAAAAATAATGACGGTGGATGAAAGAATTTTATCAAATTACTCAATTTTACAAATCTTACACAATATATAGATCATTATTTGTTAGGCAAACATTTACAATATATTAATAATAATAATGTAGAGAAAATTACATCAAGAGGGAAACATAACTGTGGGTTTATGATGTAGTAATTATATATATATATATATATGTATATGTATATGTGTGTGTATTGTATGTTGACTTGTATACATTTTCTAGGTGTGTTAGTCCAATCATAATCATTCTTCTAAATTCAGCAAACTAGCTCCAATATTTGAAACTTGTGTGTAGCATGTACAAAATTTGAAATAATCTACATATAAAATTACTCTATATATAGACCATGTATTAAAAGACTATGGAAATTCTAAATTTATAGTGATTATTGGCCAACATATGAAGTTTTACAATATGAGATAGAAAAAAATTATTTTAAAGGATTATTGATGTATTTGGCCACCCCAACTATCACAGTCTAGCTCCACAACTGTATTTAAGTATATGCTATTGGTCAACTCTGAATCAGATGGACTTGCAGGATACTGTAACCTATATCACATTTCTTAAGGAAAAATAATAAAAGGAGTGAAACTTGAAGGAGAACAAAGAACCCTCCTGGAATAGAACATAATGCATATGTACTTAAGAAAGGAAAAACAATTGCATATCAGCACATTAAAGCTCTCAGTCCCTCTGCAAGTCATAGAAAGAAATCATCATGACCAGTTTCACTAGAGAGAAAAGAACCCACCGGGAATAAAACATAATGCATATGTACTTAAGAAATACAAACATTTGCACACAAGCACATTAAAGCTCTCAGTCCCTCTGCGAGTCATAGAAAGAACTCAACATGACCAGTTTCATTAATCCAACATTATCACTTGTGTATACTAAAACAAATACACATGTAACACAACTCGATCAAATTATGTAATATGATAATCATTTGTAACAATTAAAAACTATAACATATCAGGACCTCGTCAATAGTCTGAGTTTTATGGATACGATGCAGGAATTCATTGGTGAAAATATGGGTAAAGGTTGACCCCTGGGAAACTGCAATGCATAAAGCAAATTAAACATCAGACAATACGATAAAATTATATTCCTAAAACAGTCTAGCTTCAAGCTTAGATTTCATTTAAAAAATAAAAAAACTAATGAGGAACTTGCTACAAATGTAACATACCAAATGGAGGCCGATATTCTAATTCCTTAAAGTTTTTGGAGCCTTCATATGCATCTTCTTCACCTGAAGCATCTGATAATCCCAACTCTGCATTAATCTCCGCATTTGACTTCTCTTGAGGGATAGCACAATCAGCAAAGGCCCTGTCACTGCTGTCCTTACATGTCCTTCAAAATAATATATCCCATAAAAAGATGCAAGTTATTTAAACTGGAAACATTATGTATAAGGTAATTGCCAAACATGCCTCTTGTATGCAAAGACATAAGAGGATTGAAATAATTAACTACAAATATAAATCATGACTAATTAATGAAAACTATGCAATTAAAACCCAAATAATCACTGATGTACAAGGTGAAAATTGTAAAAAAATCTGTTACAAACAAATACATGATAAAACAATATTCTGCCTCTTCAACTTCTAGACAGGTATTATAGAAAAATAATAATAGAGTAACATGAATGAAACATGCTATACCAGGTACAGTTAGTTTCATCAATTAGATCTGCAAGCACAGCTGGAATTCGCCGCCATTTGTAACAATCATCGCATCGCACCCACGCATTACGGGGAGATGAAAGTTGCTCCCCCAGTCCAACACCAGACAGCATGTCTGAATTAGATATGTTGACTGATACTTTGTTGTTATCAGCATTAATTTTTCCAGCAGCATCCAACTCATGATTTTCAACATTTGCTTCTACGAGACAAAAGAAAAAACATATCCTATTATATTTAACTTCTCCAATATATAACACAAAAGATTAAGATAATATAATAAAGATTTAGACAGTAGTGAAGGAGCCCATCCCAATCTCAAATCCAAAACGCAAAAAAATAATATCACATGATGCTGTCTATTTGACACATAAAAAGCTACCTGAATGTGGGTGATCTTCCATTTGACATGTAATTTTAAGAGAGGCACCTTTTCCCTTGACTTCGCACTTATTAATTGGCTTTTTCTGTTTTTCCTTGCGAGTACAAGTAGTCTTTTTCCTGTCAGTCGAGTCAGAAGCTTTAAATTTGGTCCGAGTAACTTTACTAGGTCTAAGACTTTTAGGTAGCTTACGCCCCAAAGGTCTTGCAGTAGACATCATAGTCTCAGAAACCTGCGAATCTGAAAATCCATTGTCAACTGATGGTTTGCCACTTGTCTTAATGTCCATGTGATTTTTAACCTTCAAAGCCTCAGCAGAGCCTCCAAGTTCAGTTCCTCCAGAATGGGACAATGATTCTGGGCACAATTCTTTACCGTTCACAGATTTGTTTATCTGAGTGAAAGTAGGCAATTCCAAAGAGCTAACTGCATCCTTGCAATTTTTCTTACCCCTGCTGCGATTCTTAGATTGCTTAGCTCTACTATTCCCAGGTGGACATTGTGATTCATCTTCAGTGATACAGTTACCTGAACATGTAAGTTTGTCTTTCTTCTTCCCCCTTTTACTGATGGTCAATTTAGAATTCAACACTTTAGAATAACCTAAACCTTCTTGATGTCTCTCTCCAACCTGGACATCGGGAACTGAATTGATAACTTCGGAATCAGGTGAAGTTCCAGGATCCATACCCTTGTTATTGATAGGTTCAATCAATGCTTCAACCACCTTCTCTGGAGGAGCTGCAAGACAAGGTTCCTCTACATCCCCATCTGCCTTCTCTGTTCTGTCAGTATTTTCTTCTAAGGGGTTATTTGCTGCTTGTCCATTTAGAACAAGACCATCCTTATCCAGGTCATTGTTGAAAGATTCTGCATTGCCCAAAGCCACCACTTCCAACATTTTATCTTCAGCATTACTGGCTACTTTCATAGAAGCTGAACCGGACTCCAAGAGGGAAGCAGATGCGAAGCCATCAACAGACTCCAGAGTCAAGACATTTGAGCATCTTAAATCAGGTTCTTTCCCAAATTTGATCTTCAGACGAACACGAGTAGTTGGAACAGGACACTTCTGTAGTGAACTCATTAAACTAGTACTTGCATCATTCTTAACTGCTGTACCAGTTTGGCGCTTGCTTCTAGCCCTCCCCAACTCTTGGCACACAGTTTCACCAACTGGATGCTCATTATCTTGCTCAAAAAACTGTTCAATATTCCCAATCAATCCCCAGATAGAAGAACGAGCTGGTTTGGACAAACAACTTCTCTTCTTTCTAGAAGCCTCTGAGTATAACTTAATATGATCCCCATTTGAACGTGTCACCTTGGTTTTGGTCTTGCATTTTCTTGAAGCCTTTTTGGTTTGCGTCTTTCTGCCAACTTTACTTCTTCGACTACTCATTTGAGAAGGTAATGGTATGCTTTCAGTGATACAATCAACTTCAACAGCTTCTTTTCCATCATTATCCATCTGACCTGGATTGTCCACAGCACTATTATTGTTAATAGAAACATCATCACCTTTACAATGGAGATCAGAAATATCCTTTGAAGGGCACTTGGTAATTGAAGCAACAGAGGGCAGACCTGATTCTGGAGAAAATGGTGTTCTAAAGGTAGAGTTGCCAGTTTCCTCTGAGGAACAGTCCTTCAATTTACAAAAAGCATCTTCTACATTCTTCATTTCACACCCTGGATCCAACAGGGCAGGATCACAAAGATAATCAACCACTGATGAGCTCCCAGCAGTCCCATGGCAACCTGGAGAGGATGATATTTTTACACATGAATTAATTTGAATGATTTCTTCATCAACAAAAACTTTAACCTTTTCTTCACAAGTACTATTCTGGTCCTCACCATCTTTTGGATCACTTGTGCTCCTCTCTACTTCTGTATCTGCATATAATGCACCAGATGGCACATCCATGTCCGGAGTAGGAGATATTTGTCTGCAAGCATCATGTTCTGTCCCAATTAGAGTATCACATTTTTCCGCAACATTCAACAAGGGACCCGCATGTCTCATAACTTTCTCCTGCTCATTTTGCTGGTTGCATTCAACTAGCAAGTCAGACACAGATTCCAATTCCAAAGACATTTCAGAATCCCTAAAGTCAAGTACAGGAGTGAAAGCATCACCAAGAAGACCCGTATCATCGTTTTTTCCTGCTGGTAATATGTCGCTCTTATCATTCTTCTGCTCATCCTGTTGAGCACAGAGCCTCTCTGAATCATCTGTAGTTAAGGATCCCGACCCCAAAGCCAAGTTGCCCTCAGCCTGAAAATTTCCCTCTGACCCACTGTTTGCACAGGGAACTTCAATGCTTCCATAAGAAACCCCTAAGAAATTCAGACAATCATCTTCGGCGGCTTTCTCCACTATCAACAAATCAGCATTTTCACATTCACTTGCCAAACCCAAAGCATCACCAGAACCCACATCTACACACCTTGCAGAACCCACAAGGTCTTCTCCCACACAACCATCAGATATAGTGGAGAGGTCTGTATTAGAGTCCACAACTTTGCAAGCTTCTTCCAAACAAGACTCCTGCACAGAAACAACCTGCTCCGCAACCTCTGAGCACAAATGCTGCTCAATAACAGAACCTCCAGAGGGATCATTAGTGGTAGCAGATCTCCCACACGACCCCATCTCAATCATTCAAAAATCATAAATGGCACCGCACCACCACTAACCCGTCACACTCTGATCAACTTCAAAATCCGATAAACGAACAAAGGTAAAAGAATCGCAACAATGCACCAACCAATACCTAACAACACAACCTCAACGAAACGGTACCTCGAATTAAAGCAAAGTAGCGAGCACTACCTCCACGTGAAAACCAAAGCCCGGAAAGAAAACCCTAAAAAGCGGCATTATCCTGAGACGCTCTGCACGGAAAGAGATGAAAAAAATTAGATAAAGAAAACCCTACTTGCAGAAAATGCAGACGCTGACACGAGTTCCTAGGTGCAAATACGTTAAACGAACAATAATATATATAGCGAAAATTGAAACAAAAAAATTAAAAAACAGAAGAAGAAAATTAAGATAAGAAGTGGATTAGAGATAACACCTGCTCTCAGGATGTGCGAGAATTGAGATTGAGGATAAGGAGGTTGGGCTTAGGCGTTTCCAACAATGGTTTTTTCAGAAAAAATAAACGTAAAAAACGAAAATATTCTTTTCCCCCTGAGTCGAAGAGAGAGAAAGAGTTGGGTCTGCGTCGCGCGCAGAGGAAAGAGAGAGAAGAAAAAGATGGTTGGTGAAGTTGTCAACGAAAACAAAAATAAAAACAAAAACCAAACGGTTTGAGAAAAAAAGCACAAAACAAAAGAAAGGAAAACCAAAGCGAGAGAGAGAAAGAGAGAATGCTTCCTTCTTCCTTTCACGACCCAAGCCAGATTTTTTTTTTTCTTTTTATTTATAGATAAATAAATAATCTGGACCTAAATTCAATGTTGATTAGACCGTTTTGCCCTCACGCGCCTCTCATAATCATTCATCAACATTTTCTCCTTTCTTTCTATTTTTCCTCTTAGGACACGTCCCTAAAACCTTGCCATTTTTTTAAAATCAAAATTTTCCATTTATCTCTCAAGAGGTAATTATAGAAAAACTTATTAAAATTAATTTAATAACAAAAAAAAAATAAAAAGTATCCTTTTCATTGAGATTTGGAATACTTTAACATGAACACGCTAAGAACAAAAAAATTATCCTCGGTGAGTTCATATTCGTGACGGTTTGCTTGTAGTTTGTGCATATCTTCTTGTCGATAACATTTTCGTAATTTTTTAAAGATTATTGGCTACTACTAATTATTAGTTTCTTCCCATTCAGACTACAATAATTAATTCTCTATCAAAATTAAATATGCTTGAATAGAAGCTATGATAACATTCATTGTATTGTTTGGAATGGGAAAGATTTTACAATTACTTTTAATTGAATAACAATTTAATAAATTATTACCTCATGAGTTTCGGTTTTGAAAAATAAATCCTCTTTAATTAATAGCTAAACAATTTTCTTTTCAGAATTAATGCATACAACAAAATATGGTACTCCAAATAATCATGTCCTAAACAATATTCCAAACAAACATAATTGCCATGCAATTTATTTAATGCATATAATATAGCGAGTTGAATTTTATTTTATAAAACTAATTAATTAAAGATTAAACCTATGTTATGTAATTTAAATAAAACAAGTCACGTTACTTTGTATAAAACAAATAAAATATTATGAAAAGTTTGCTTGTAAAATAAAAAAGATAATGAAAATTATATAAAATTTAAACATTTGAAAACAAACATAAAAGTAAGTTTTTTCTATTGAGATAATAGAATTGTATTTTCTCTTATAGTATTTTTTTTAATTGTAATTTCATTTTCATTTTTTATTATATATTATATAATTAACAATAAGTACAATAAGTTTTTGTCATAATCAAATATTTATTTATTAATAGATCTTATAATATATTTTATATTAACTAATTCAGCTATTGTAAAATATAGATACTCGTTTTTTTTAAGTTGATGTGGTAGAAAAAAGAAAACATGATACGGTTTTTTATAATTTTATTTGGGTAAAATATGTGCTTATTCTTATAAAATATTTTATTTATGAAAATAATATTTTTATTAACTTAATCCTTGTGACTGATTTTACTCTATTTAGATTTTTAATTTGGTTAATATATTGAATATGGTAATGAAATCTGATTTAAAACGAATGAAAATCTAATTTATATATATTTTTATGTACAACTTTATTCGTAAATCATAGTTATATGTATATTTTTTTCTCTCGCATCTATAACCTAATTTCACCACAGAAAAAAATGGGTACATTTCATATCAAAAGATTGATATTCATCTATATTCAATCATTGTCAAAATATGATTTTTATTTTATTAAAATTTTTAATTTTGTTAATATATTGAATATGGTAATTAAAATCTGATGTGAAACCGGTGAAAATATATTTTTTATTTTTAATGTAAAAATTTATTCGTAAAACATAATTATATGGATATTTTTTCTCTCACGTCTATAAATAAGATCTCCACACAAGAAATTGGTACATTTTATATTAAATTATTGTATGTTTTTATGTCTCACGGACATTAAGAAAGAAAATAAATAAATAAATAAATAAATAATAAATAAATAAATAGGAAATTTGATGAAAATAAAATATTTAAAAGTTGTTAATATTCACCGACATAAAACAAAATCTTCATTTTTAAAATTTTTGTCATTTTCCTTATAATTAAGAACTCATGAAAGTGCATCTCCTTCCAAACCTTCACATCTTCCTTGGACGATTTCCTTTCCACCCTATCATACAAATATTTCTCTATGAATTTGCAAGTTTGGTATCACAAGGATATAAGTTACTTACATCAAAACTATATATGTCTCATGGTTTCGTCGTTAAAATTTCAAAATTTGTATATATATTGTTGTTTATCCTTTCTAAAACTTGAAAATTACCATTTTTAAAATTTTTAAACTTGATACAATGAGGGATAAAAAACTTTTATATCTTAAAAAAGAAAGTCATCATATAGGAAGAAGCCTTTGTTTGATCGTGTAGAACAATCTTAAAAGATTGAAGTAAATTATTCATCATTTCAAATAATTCTTTTGTAGGATCAAACTCCAATATATAGTTTTTTCTATAAGCATCTTCACTTGATATTCTCTTTCTAAAGGAGTGCGCAAATATTTAACTTCATCTATATTATTGTATAAATGAGATTAATTTTTTTTACCCACTTTTAATGAGGAAGAAAAAATAATATAGGAAAAATAATTATTGTGATATTAGGTACTTGTAAAATAGAGAGAGAAAAAATAAAATACATATAAAAATTAAAAAAAAGTAAAATCTTTAAACAATAATTATTTTAAAAAAATGAATAATATAAGCCATATGTATGATCATGCGCACATCAACATATTTGTTTTTACTATTATATGTAAAAAATAAAAAAACAATAACAATATAAAAATATGAAGACAAACACATCACCTTTATTTTATAATTTATATTAAAAAAATTACACATCTTCATAGTTTTGAAACCCTTCCCAATATCATAATTTTTTTTACAACGTAAGTAAAATTTTATTACTTGAACAATTTATAATATCTTCCATTTGAGTATTATAATGCATTTCTTCAATAAAGTAGCTTGAACAAAATATTTAAAATTTTATTTATTTTTATCAAAAATGGATTGATAAAGGGTTCCATAACAACAATTAAAGTCTTAGAATCTACTCCAATCTTTGAATCAATACGAAAATAAGTATATTAAGATAATAGATAGAGAATTCTTATTTGTAAAACTCTTATTAAATAGTATGTTAATTATTAATGTTATATATAATTGAATAATCATATATATTAATTATACGATTATTATTATTATAATATGTATTAAAAAAATATTTTTGTTAAAAATAATTAATATAGAAATTAGGTAAGTAAACATAATATTATAATTAAATATATTAATATTCAATTCAGATTTTAAAAAATGTGAGACAAAGGAAAAACAAAATTCATTATCTGCTTCTATATTTAAAATTACAATCTCTTTTAAACTTTTCAGCCTCACATTTAAAAAAAAAAGCAGGTTATATATATATATATATATATATATATATATATCAATAATTAAGATTTTATTTTACTCTCACCATTCATTTTTCTTGAATTAAAAAAAATATTTTAAATTATTACATTACAGTAAAATAAATAGTGAGGAATAATAAAAACGAAATTAATTTTAATTTAAAATATATATATATATATATATATATATATTGTTGTATTAAAAGTTAAATTGGACATAAATTTATTAATAAAATAATAATAAGAAATATTAGCCATTCTTACATTTGTGTAGTAAAATTTGTAGAGGAAGTATATACTAGAGACATCAAGAGAACTGAATGTGGTAAAAATATATTTCTTAATGAAACTTGAAAAGTGTTTCAATACATTTAGTGAGCCTCACCTTGTTTAGGAGTCAAGACATATCTTTTAAAGATAACTCAGAACAAAACTAAATTAGATAATATGCAAAAATTCAAAAATAGACAATATGCTGAATGTGGGGTGAATTTAACTTGATGATGTTACCATCACACTGATGTGATACCTTCCATATTTTTTTTCTCACACATGCACTATAATTGGAAAGAAATGCATTGCTATCAAAGCTGTGCTTTGTGCTGTGACATAAGAGATATCTCAAGAAGAAGCAGCATAACATACTAATTGATTTGATAGTTTCATAACCCAAATTCAACAATAATAAATATGGCAGAAATTGGAAATGATACAAGTTCATATATAAGTTAAGGCTATCCAGCAGAATTAATTTGAAAACAGCAGCCATTAATCTGCATTGGTTTTTTTAGATTTGCCTGTTTTAGAGTACTTGCGTGTGGCATATGTGAATTGAACCCCCTTAATTAATCATCATCTCGTCAAATCCATTGTCCATGCATGTTTCCCACACCTTCTAGAGCCAAATGTTGTTGCTGTAATTGATAGAAAAAAAAAATCAAAATACAGTGTTAGTTTCATTCCATGGTTCATTAAACTTCAACAGGGATTATACTATAAATTTCCTTTTTGAACCTATGAAAACTGGTTACTCATTGGTATTCATAAGAGTCCAATTTACATCCACAAGGAGAAGGAGAAAAAAAAATACAGATATGATGATGTGATAAAAGATAAAAATATCAACTAAGTCATATATAATCAACTACTTGATATCATAAATAAGCTTATGTAGTTTAGTAAACTACATTTAAATTAATTTAATTCTCCCATAATATGATTCTTTCTGATTTTAGAACAATATTTTGAACCAAATAGATATAAACATGATCTAAAGTCTAATGAAGATTGAGTTTAAAGCACTGTGCAAATTATCTTAGTCGTATGCTCCACACAGTATATGTTATGTGTCTGTGTGCTGTAGTTCAGCCATATATATTTTTGGTGCAGAGATATTTATAAATAAAACTAATGTTTACAATTATGAAAGAGCTGAAGCTACGTGTTAATTCACAATATAAGCTGCGGCAAAATAGATTTAAGGTGTGTTACAGTATTTGTCAAAAAACCTGAAACCAGTCTGATGCATATACACAGATTGCCACTTACCAGAAGGAAATTCAGTTCCTTATTTTGCTCCTCCAAAATCTTGCCCTGATGAATATCAAAGGAATTTAACAAGTGAGAAAAACTAATTATCTTAAAAGATAAGAATAACAGATACAAACCTATAACTTTTAATTAAAAGGGTAATTAATATTAACAAACACTTTTAATCTATATGATAAGACTAATTAATTAACTTTTAATCTTATACATTGGAAAAAGACCTACATACATTTCTCTTGAACATCCTGTGAACTTCTACCTGTGGCACGAACAAGAAAAGGTTTGAGGAAACTTGTTTAGCGTTTGATAACCAATAATAAAGCTATGATAAGTATATAATAATTAAAAAAATTATTGCCTTTTTCTCACGGACGCCATTGAGGCCATTTTGAAGGGCGTCCTCTAGGGCCATCAGTTCCTTGTAATTCAGTGACGTAATATCCTCCCCTTTCAAGTGCCTGAAATAATATATATATATATATATATATATATATATATATTATTTGATGAGAAATAATTAAGAGATGATGTTGGATAGATAATCAAAGGTGCAATAATTAATGTTATGTACACATATATAAATAAACCTGAGCTCAATTTGCATGCTGTCATTCTCTTTTTTGAGTCTATCAATTTCATTGCTGAGGTTCTGCAGTGAGTTCAACAACGATATTGTGTTAACCTGAACATACATATATTATTCCCTAGCTAGCTTACTCCAGAAAGAAAGACAAAAATGGACTACAATGCAAAATTTGTCAAATAAATGAACATTATTTGCAGTAGATCTGGCTCTAGGTAACTGCTGGTTTCAATGTCAGTGAAGAAACGTGTAGTCAACAAAGAGAGAGATCCATCGACCGAGTACTCCCTAGCTAGGAAGAGACATTTCACATCTTTGTTCCTAACTCCTACAAACAACTCTTGTATACCATTCAGCTTTTGAAACTTGCAAAGAAAAGGAATTAAGCGAGTGAATAATATTGTTTTATACTCAGATCTGTTCATACACATACACATATATATAATATATGCAAGTTATGACATTTAGATGTAGAGAAGGAGTGAGAGTAGATGTTCTAAATCTAGATCTAATCATAAATTCTTGGTTCTTGGACCTGAACGTATTTTAAGCAAAACAACTATATATACATGTTTTCGTTTGAGGCAAATCAAGCAAAAACTACAAGTTTTTTTATTTTTTTCGAAGACAAATAACCTAGCTACCTCATGCTTAGCGTCCCAGAGGGTCTTCCCAGAGGCTCTTTGGTATCTGTCTAGGACGTCAATCAACCTTAACCAATAAAAAGATTCAAGATAAGCTAGAAAGAAAAATAGAAGTGAGTTTTGCGCTCTTCTTGAAGATGAAGCAAAAAGAAAACCAGGAATCTAGAAAAGAAACAGTTTAGCATAAGAAGATGAAGAAGTGAAAGAAGCCCTTATAATTACGTGGTGGAGGGGCTGATGTATTCATGCATCTTTCCAGAGGCACCAAAGATGATAAGGGAAACTTGAGCATCACATAGAACACTAATTTCCTTTGCCTTCTTAAGGATCCCATTCTTCCTCTTTGAATATGTAACTTGCCTGTTGCTTGAGTTCTCAATCCTTTTGATCTCAATCTTACCCCTCCCCATCTCTCACAAACTCACAACCTTTCTCTTCTTTCCTTCTCCTTTATTTTCTTTCTATCTTTTGTGTTTCATAAGTGCAGTGGAATGGAGAAGTGGGGAGATAAAGAGGGTATATAGCAAACATCAAGAAAAGTAATAGCGGAGCATTCCATTATGGGTTTGTGGATGAACAACTTTCTGAGTGGCACAGAAAGGAAGTGCTTGTTTAGGGGTTTGTGACAAAGCCAATTCAACTGCATGCCTTTATTTCACGTTTTTAATTTGGCTTTGTGTAATTTTTCAGTTTTGAACTTGTGATCCATTTTCTTAACCCTTGGTTTTTTTATGCATCTCTCTCTTGATCATTTAACTGCAATTGTTCTTGGATCTCTTTCCAAGAGTACGTGGATTTTTAGGGTGTACTTGTTTATGTAATTGGTTCAGGTTTGAGATGAAATATATATATAATTGGCGTTTAATTAAGTCGTATATTGGTGAGTGTGATTGATTAACTTTTCTAGGGTTTGAATGACGGGTAGTGGTAACTAGTTGTGGGGCGCTCAACCATCAAATCGAAAGGAAAGGATTATTATTCCCATTTGTGTGCAAGGAATAAAAGCTTTTTAGAGCAATGTGTAAAAGGGTATAGGGGAAAACAATTAAAATGTTGCAACCACAATGGAAAGGAGAAGGCTCAAGCATATCCATCAAATTAATGGAAGACCAAAGATATGATGAATTGGAGTTTGGGCAAGCATGCACTAGTAAATGGTGACTCCCTGAGTGGAACCTCTGATTTGAAAGGTGTGGTTGGTAGAAGCTGCAACCCTCAAATCACTAGCTAGCTATGGCTCAAGATTGCTTGACAAGACAAACTCAAGAGGGAGAAGTTATACAAACATGTTACTACAGGTTCAAGGAACTGTGCTCCTATTTGAAAAATTCATCTGCATTTTTTTATATATTGTGCAAGTTATATATATATATATATATATATATATATATATATATATATATATATATATATATATATATATATATATATATATATGTTAAATGAATATCTAGACCACTCAATCTTGTCGTGGGAAAAGTTTAGTAATGAATAACCTATTTTTAATATTTTGTAAATTCTCTTTTAAGTCTATAACTTAAGCAAAGTCACGTTTCATGAATAAGGGAAATGTTAGTAATGAATCTTCTTCAAATGTGTTAGGTTGATCTCCAAAAATGTGAAGTAGCTGCCAGAAAAGGGAAAGAAAACTGCTGAAAACCCTGAACTGCTATTTGGTTTATACATGCATTGCAACAACATTTAATTCCACCGATAAGAGTTAGACTTGGCTCTTAGTAAATGCAATTTGTTGCATCACATTGAGAAGGCTCAAAATATTATACAGAGAGGTGTTTCAATAATCTGGTCAAACGCGTGGAACATTTAGAACACATTCAACTCACCTTCTTTAATTGGAGTTAATAAGTGGATCTGACTCGTACATAAATTACTGGTTTTTATCCTTTTTCAGATTAAACAGTTCATAAAACAGTAAACACTCAGTTCCTTCACCGAACATCTCTAAAAGATTACTACTAATAACCTAAGACCCTACATTTTCTCAGTAATTAAAAGTAGTGCAATTCAAAATGTATGGGGAAGATTTACAGTGGTGTGATTTTGTGTCCCCAAAAATTCTCATCTCGACGAGCAAATTAATTAGGGCTACGCCTAAAACAAACAACAATTACCATTCACTGTATGATTCTGGATTCACTTCATCATGTATGCTTTTTAAAATTTAAAAATTGAGGAACTTTATTTAATATTTTATTACAAATATATTAAATTAAATATAATTAATAAACTAAAAAGGTATAATCAAGCTTTAGTAAAGATTTATGGACTAGTTATTTCTTATATATATATAGTCCCATTGGTACAAAATATTACACTGGAGTTTATTCAATGTGATTAATCCTTTTAATTTTAATGGTAGTGATAACAACACGAGCCGTATAAATAAAAGAGGGATTAGTAAGGTTATATTTTGAAAATTTTCAAAGTAAATTTTTGTAATAAAAAAACTAAACACTTTTTCATAAATTTAAATTATTTTATATATTTATGAAAAAAAAATTATATATTTCTTTAAACTATATTTTAATTTGTACATAAGTTAATTTTAACTTATGAAATGTTAACTTTTTTTTCTGTTGATTATTGTAAAGAAGTTTGCTCAAAAAAATCTTAGTTTTTAACATTATATATTATAATGATAAAATTTATTTAAAATAAAAAAATTTAGTATCTCATTTTTAAACTGTAAAAGAAAAATTAAATAAATAAAATACTACAAAATTTTATTATTTTAAGAAAAAAATGTTCCAGAAATAATATTTAAAAATAATATTACTAATATTCTTCTTATTAACTAAAACTTTTGTTAACACATATATTTTTATCACATTATGGATTTTAATAATACTTTTGCCCCAACAAAAGTTTATTTTGCATTTTAAAGTATAAAATATTACCGAAATCGTTTCTTAGCAATTTAATATTAGATGTAGTAGCAAAATTTATTAGGCGAGGAAAGTCATAATCCTAAATTTTGTAATTTTTATATATATATATATATATATATATATATATATATATATTTATGATTTTGACTTCACATTATTAAATTATTGATCAAGATCAACCACGTATTAAATGGTATAATAGTTGATTGATTATATGTTAACAGAATATTATATTTAATATATTAACCAAACAATTTTTTTGGTAAAAAATATTCATTTATATTATTAGAAAAAATGTTTATACAGTCACCATATTATTACTATATATGAAAATAGGTTAGGTTATTGGACACGACGCATAACAAGTATGTTAGGGTAGAGTGTTTAAGTAAATGAAGTTATAAAAAAATTATTTGGTTAAAAATATTAAACCATTTAAAAAGTCTTTTACAGTTAACATAAAATGTATATAGACGTAAAGATGATTTGTAATTATAACCATTTTTTTAGAGGGGTTATAATTTAAAGAAAAATAGTTATTATAATTGTATATTTAAAAAATAATAAAAATATGCAAAAGAAAAAAATATATATTTAAAAATATAAAAAATTAAATAATATTTTAAAAGAAATTAATTATATAAAAATATAGACACGAAATTGTTTGTGTTAATAATAATAATGTTGTTATTATTATTTTATTGTAATATATTAAAATCATATATTTATTTATCTCTCAAAATTATTAAATAGATTGAATTACATAAAAGGTTAAATTTATAAAGAAATCTAAATATTTTTATATAAGTAATTTATTATATTATATCATCTAAACATGATTGTGTATAATAAGATCGACAATACATATATTATAATTTTTAATGCTTTATTTGGATTAATGATAAAAAAAAATTGTTACTCTTGTAAAGGTTTTATTACATTACTCTTATTTTCTTTGAGTATGTTAGATTTAGATCTACAAGGCAATTGGGTTTTATTTTTAATTATTAGTCCAGACTTAGAATATTTTTATAGTGAGTGAATTTTTTACTGCAATAAATTGAAAAATAAGAATTCAAAATCAGTGATCATTAATATTGAAATAAACGAAATAAAAAGTTTATCTATAAGAACTCGTTTAGTACCATTAAGAAACAAATGTTCTTTTAAAATAATATATTACGATTTATGGGTCAAGAAATGTTAATAGCATATTTGGTAACACTTTTTAAACATAATTTGCTTAATGACTCTTTCTCTAATTTCTAGTTATAAAAAAATGTTAATTATCTAAGTCTTGTATAAGTTAACAATAAAAAAATTGAGTATCAGTTAATAAAGAAATTAAACAGGAGGAAGAAATATATATAATTTAATGTTTTAAGGTTTTTCTTATTAAAGATGTTGTCAATTTCTTATATGTTTGACTCATATCTCATTATCCATTAAGAGTAATTATTTCATTATTTTTGCTTCACTCATAAGTTCAACATTATTTAAAAATTAAAGTAAATGATAATTTATGCAGACCAACTTCTCTTAATCTACCAAAACATCTTTTAAAACTAACCTCTCTTAACCTATTAAGTATCTTTTAAGGACAAAAATTATAGAAAAAAAGAAAAAATATGTCGGCTCATTATACTTAAAAAGTATATTTATATATTAAAATAAAAAAATTATAACTAAAAATATTATATTTTTTTATTGAAATACGTAAATATTTAAATTATAAAAATTAATTAATTAAGTTTAAATTATTATTATAATTAGTTATTTTAACCCATAAATATAATATTTTTTTCAATTTATCTATTAAAAATACTAATTAATAAATAAATAAAAATTTAAAAATTATTTATATAATTAAATATATATTTAAAAAATATATATAAATTTTTTTATTAATAACGGTCCGTCAATTCACCCTGTTTTTGGTAAACAAGAGACATGACATGCCAAAATAAGACTAAGATAGATTAGTCTGTTCTATAATCCCTAAAAATCCTGATAAACTAAAACTCCATACAATTTCTTAGATATGCGAGTAAACCTTATGATAATCTTATTCCTAAACAGAATAATAATTTATATACATTTTTATACTATAATAATTAATCAATTTTTTTAAGATATGTCCTAATAAACTTTAACATATTATCATATTATCAGGAAATCAAATATTTTTGTCCTTCTATAAAAAAATTAAGAAAATATATTAAAAAAGAATGTGCTGGTTGAACATATAACAACAAAGATACACAATGCCTTTTGGAGGTTAATTTTGAAGAAACGGTGATTTCCACGCACAAGATATATTATCTAACAGGCCAGTGCATGAGTCTGAGCTTGTTGCGGTGCAGTGTCCAGTCTTGGTGTGGAGAGCAGCCAGTGAAACGCATGAAAAAGAGATTTTGATGAGATGTAAGGACCAACTGCTAGGCTTCACCTAATTAACCATTTTTTTGTTCTCCAAGTCTTCAACTTCAATTAACCATTCCAATTTCCAAGTCAATTTCAGAAAGCTGTTTTTGTTTTGGAAACTCCTAAGGTTTTGATTCAACACCATCTAATCTATATATGCAGGCTAGGAGACCATGCATTGTACTCAAAGTTAGTTTACCTCTACAGTGTAACCTCCATAATCTGACCTTAGGGTAAAGGAGATGTTCCCTGCTTCATTTTTTGCGTGCTACAATTTCAACATCCCATGCCTCATTTCACCTTTTCTACATTTCTGTTCATTTATGGATAGGCCTGGAATGGTAAGAGCTGGAAACATAGGCAGACCCTAAAAGGGAATTCAAGTGGAGAGATTCTAGTTATATCCAAATAAACATTGTAGTCCTTATGACCACTTTCACCATTCACCTACAGTGTTACAACCTTTAGATGTATATAATGTTGTTTTGTTTTTGTTTTCAAATGAAATTTGTCAGAAACTGTTGATATGTATTTGATAGAAATGTAGCCGCTCTTTTTTCTTGTTTTCATTACAAACTGTGGTGTTTGATGTTGTGAATTTGAATCTGATAAATTGTTGAAATTTTAGTTGAATCAGCACCGATGAGAGTGCTTGTTGCGTGGTTTCTACTCGACTGCGAGCATGTAATGTGATCCCCTGTTAAAAAGTTGCTACATTTCTCAAATAAATTTACTTCTTACAAAGGATATTAGTACAAGAAAGTAGGAATTATCTACGGAAAATATTCTATCTCTATATTTATATTGTCAAGAAAAAATCTCTTAATAGCGTTCATTACAAGAAAGTAAAAAATTACTGATAAAAAATATTTTGTTGATAAATTTAAATTGCTGACAGTAAATTTAAATTATTGACATAATAATCTGTCGATAATATTAAAAGTTAAAAAGTATTACTTCCTCTCTTATTTGTTGAAAAATCGTCATAAAATAAGTAAAAAAATAATCATTGTTAATATTAATAAATAAAATAAAGTAAACAATATTAAAAATATATAATAAGTTAATCCAAATATCATGTGTATAATGAATTGTAATATAAAAAATTGATGTAAATATTATTATTTTATATTATCATTTGATATAGTATATATTATAATTATTTATGTTAATTATTTTTTAAATTAAATATTTTTAAAAATAAAATGTAAAAATTGTAAAAGTAAATAATAAAAATAAAATATAAAAAACATTATCTTATTAGTATTTATTTAATAAACACAAAATTATTAATTATTAAATTGATAAATATTAATTTATTAAATATTTGAAATGTATTACTTATTTAATTAACAAATAATATATTTGATATTTAATGAAAAATATTTTCATAATTAATATATAAAATAGACTAAATAAAAAATAAATAATTATGATAGTTTTAACTGTATAGAATTTTGTAAAGTTTATATTCTAATAGTATTTTATTTCACTCTTTCGAACATAATTTTGCAAATTACTATGGACATATTTATTGATAATTATCAACAATGTTATGTCAGTAATTGCCGACGTATTATTTCAATATATTCATAAATTTTATCGACAACAAAATTTCTAATGATTTTTTATCTCTCAATAATATATATTTTTTGACAAAATTTTATAATTTTCAATGTAATTTATCCATCAATATAACCTGATTTTCTTCGTCTTTAATTTTATACCAAATGCTTTGTACACTATCTTGTCTTATAATTTTGGCGAAAAAGAATTTTCTACCTGCCCTAAATTTTATCCCTTTTACAAAATAGAGATATCTTAAACTTTAGTTGTATTTCAACCCGTGCGTATAAACTAGTAAAAAAACTATTTGCTCCAACGTGTAAATTTAAGGTAAGTCCATGATGGAGATTTTACTGTTATTAATTTAACTTCAATTTCATGGAAGGAGATACTTCTAACGAAATGAACCTTAAGGATTAATTATGAAAAAGGTAGAGTTTATTTTAAACTGATTAAAGTTTAAGAGAATTAAGAGTCTATTTGTTACATCTTCTATTCATGAAAAATCCTTTACTTAATTATTTCCTTTAAAAGAAATTAGCGGCTTGGATTATGTTTTCTAAAAGTCTTTTTTTTTTAATTATTTTGAGAAGGCATTTGAGCTGTTTTTTTTTTAATAAAAGTAATTTTAACTTTCTTTCAAATTTTAAAAAAATATAATAGCAACTCTTTGAAAATTATTTTGAAGTTTGAAATGTGATTACGTTCATTCATTAATCATCAGCATATACACACATACATCTGTGAAGAAATATTCTATTCTTAATTCAGTTTTGATCAGAGTTTGGTGCAAATCTCAGGTATATATATATATATATATATATATATATATATATATATATATATATATATATATATATATATATATATATATATATATATATATATATATATATATATATATATATATATATATATATATATATATATATAACCAGATTCTAGGGAACATTCAGCTGTAGGTCATAGCAGCATTTTGGTTGATCACTCTAATAGATTATTGAATTCCAACAGCCCCATCCTCAACAAGTTACAGCAAAATATACATATGACCAAGTAACTGGGCACACAATTTCAGAAATGAAATGTTAAGTCTAATTGCCCTTCTGCGCGTGCCGAAGTTCAACCTCCGTATCGTTTGTGTATACCTGTGAGGCACTCTTGGAATACCTTCTTATCACTCAAAACCAATTTGAAATGCTGAAGTCTCTTAGCTTTTTAAGATGTCTCTCCATATCCGCTCTGGTAGTCTCCCACTCTTGCTTTTCTATAACTGTCGTTGGATCCTCTTTTTCACTCTGCCAATAAGATGGCATATCAGAGGTATAATGTAAAGATAAATAACAAATGGTTCAGAAAGAAATAGTCACCGCATGTATTATCTTGAAGGAGCTCCCACGATCAGATATAACAAGTAAGTCACTCCTTCTATCTCTTGTTCTCCCTCCTGGAGCTGTTACCTACAGTAAGGCAAATTGATGATTAGCGACAAGTATCCATATTTGTAACACTTGTCTCACGAAGATAAGCATGGATGTGATTCGGGGTGGGAGGAGAGAAGATAAAAATCATTCCCATGTTTATGAGAAAACTCGAGCACTTTAAGCTATTATTGGAAGAGTCATGCAAGGTAAAGAAATTCAATCTGGGAATAAGTTTGGAGTTCTGACACATCAACTAGAAATCTCAAGATTTGGTTGGATTCGTATTTCTTTAGGCAGCAAAATGCAAAATAAATTCATTGCCAGAAACAATTAAAACAGCCAGCAGTTTCAATAGACATTCTTCAGAAATAGTTACCAGAGATGGAAACACTATTATGGCAAAAATTCTAAATTACATACAATAAAATAATATATAGCCAAAAAAATTCGACAAGCCATTTGGAATTGTCATGCTTATTTGTAGTATGAGAAATCATATAGCAATCGATATACCCAACACAACAAGTTGTGTAAAAGCACAATATCACTCTCAATTATCAATTAACAACTAGAAGTATGCACAAGTGGAAATAACAAGATTTCTGAGCCCACATCAGTAGTTTGGGACCTAAGATCTAAGATAGGCTTTGATATCATCTTAAAATCTAAACTAGAATTCAGCTCAACCTGACAAATTCTGCTTATAAGGGAGAACTGCTTAAACTCTATAAGGATTGCATTGCTAATATCTCTAATTGATAAGAGATTTCAACACATCTATGTATATAGAAAATAACAGTTCAACTTAGAAGTTGGCATGAATCCAATAAATTTAACTAAGATTCTAGAGCTATATGCAATAACATTACGTTTGAGCAGAGGTTCCAATAATCCAATGTCTAGAATTAACAAAGAAATTGTTAAAAAGTAAAACAACAAGGTAATCTAAATTCAAGGCTGAGAAAAATGACTATCGAAGACTAGTTGTGCAACAGCCAGCAAAATATTCCACAAGCAACAGTAATGAGAAATAAAAACAATTTTTTACCAAAACTTTGGCTCTGGTAATAGACTTGCTCTTGGAATCAATAATATAAATCTCTTCAAAATCTAGCACAAACTCATGATCACCCAACCTCCGATTCTTGTAGTGTTTTGTCAAGTACACCTGTAACAGGAGATAAGTTCTATGAGCTAGACATTTTAGCAAAGACCAAAGAAGAGTGTCATTTCAGTAAGACAGTAACTATGTTTTTATTTTTTTTCTAATGCTTGGCCTGGTTGTTATAAATTTATAATAAAATTCCCTATACCATGTTACCTAAAAGGAAAGATGCAAGAAACAACTACCATTTTCAAGGAGAAGGAGGGGAAAAAAATGCCCACATAGTCAAAGCCAGATCAGTGTTTCCACAGCTTGTAGCAGGCAGGCCATAAAAGTAGGAATAAATTTCCCACAAAGTCATAAAGATTAATAGAAAGAAATTTACCAGCCTCATTAGTTCATATCTTGTTCAACCATCTAATATTCCTATAACTGCCCCTTTCAACATACTACAACTAATGAAGAAAGGAAGTTATATATATAAATATAAACAATTAATTCACCAGAATGGTTCTAGGCCCAAGGGAAGATACTTCAATCAGTTCACTGGTGAATTGATCAAGTTCATGCATATGGCAGCACTAATTCCTTTAATCTCACCCTAGATTACCTAGAAGTGGGAAAGAACCCTCTTCCTGAGACAACTCAAGTAAAGCTCATTGCCCGACTGGATTCCATAAGAGAATTGTTCGGTAATATTTGACAACTCTTGAGAGAAACTCTAAAGCGTGCAATCTTTCAAACAGCCACATGTACTCTTCCACTAATACGTACATCTATCCCACATCCCCAATTTTCGTTAGATTTAGTTAAAACACAAAATTGTAAGAAGCAGTGACTGTAATTCACATATTACTTGCACCCTCAAATAGAACAAGCTGTTCATACCTTCAGGACCTCCCTCTCAGTTTTATATAAAGGATCTCGAGGCGCATCAATAGGTGGCTCTGTCACGTTGTAGCTTCCATAATCACTCTGCGCACATCTAATGTACTACACATTTGACCAAAACGACAGTATCCATTAAACACATACATTATATATATATGCGAGAGAGAGAGAGAGAAGGCAAGAGGGAGAGATTTTAATTACCGAGTGAAACTTACCTTCTGCGGCATTGGAGCGAGAACCCTGGGAATTGAATAAATATCTGTATCTGGAGGAGTGACATACATCTACGAACAGAGATTCAATTGAAGTGTTCAATGGTGAAAAAATAGAAAGAAGCAAGAACGAATAGGAAGACGTATAAATGGAGGCGTGGCAGGGTCACGAACCTCTCTGAAATCGTAGACGTCGTTGTCGGGGTCGGGGGGCTTGCGGATGAAGAAGTCACAATCGACGAGGCTGATCTTGTGGAACTCGTCCTCGTTGATTTTGTAGTCGACGACGGTGTCGGAGTCCCAGCCCAGAGTGGAGACGAAGCTGCCGCTCTCGACGATGGCGATGTCGTCAGCGGCGGCGACGAGGGGGTCGTACTCGATGTCGAAGTCCTTCTTGTTGTCGAGCTCCTCCATTTCGTACTCTTCCATCTCGTAGTCGTCGGGGCCGGCACCGTCGCCGTCGTCTTCGTCGGCGCGGGTCAGGAAAGGGTTGTGTCGAGACCTTGAGGGCGTGCGAAGAAGAAGAGAGGAGTGGGAAATGGAGAATGGTTTGAGTTTGAACGGAAGGAAAGAGCGAGGTGAATGGGGGTTGAGAGAGAGAGGTGGCGAAGAGAAAAAGAAGGGGGAAGTAGTGGAAGAAGTGGTCATGGTCGTGAAGGGTTTTGTTTTGAAGGGTTTAAGGCGGAAAAGAGAAGAAAATAGCAGAAAGCAGAGTGAGGGAAACTGATCGTGGATAAGATTTGGAGAACGGTGCACTTTGCCCGGAGCTACTGTCTTTTTTTCTTTTTTTTTAACCTTTCAAGTTTGAGTCAAATAATCTTTTATAATATTATAAACCTTTGAAATTAGTTAAAAAAGAGATAGTGCATTTAAGGATATTTAGAAAATTTTGACAAATTTAAATAATCTAGTTCTTCAATATCAATATAATATTATAAATCTCATGGAACTTTATATTGATTATATATTATTTAATCTTTTAAGAGTTAAAATTAATTAATTTTAGTTTTTAAATTTGTGATAATATTATGTTATGATATAAATAATTTAAATAAAATAAAAAATTCATAAAAATGTACTTGATGTAGTTAGATATTCGTTTATGAACCCTATCAAATTTGATCAATTGCGGGCATGTGTATAGAAGGACGTTTTTTTTTATTGATTTTGAAGACGCAAATCGACTTTTTTTCATAAATAATATTATTTTTAAAAATATTTTTTAAAATATCACATCTCGAAATATTATTTACACAATTAACACTCTTTATTGATCACTTATTAAAATAATCAATTATTTTAGATTATGATCAATTATTTCGCAGCAAGATCAACTCTCGCTCAAGTGAAAAAGCCCTTCGTTTGAGCGAGGAGACATGTAACAAATGGGTAATCTCGGGTCAATCCTCGCTCAACCGACGGATACTTTCGCTTGAGCGAGAAGTGATTGAAATATGTGGTGACCCAAGTTGTGTTATGTGGCTAACTGCGTTGGATGTTTAGCCTGTGGTCAATTCTCGCTCAAACGATGGGTTACTTCGCTCGAGCGAGGATTGATTGGGTAACTGCGTTGGACCGTGGTCAATTCCCGCTCAAACGAGACATTCATCGCTTGAGCGAAGAAATATATAATCGATTATAATTTGAACTAATCGATCATAATTTTAAAATAATCGAATATACAAAATTATGATCGATTATTTCTCACTCGCTCAAGCGAAAAAACCTTTCGCTTGAGCGAGGAGACCTGTAACAAATAGGTAATCTCAGGTCAATTCTCGCTCAAGCAACAGGTACTTTCGCTTGAGCGAGAAGTGATTGAAATATGTGGTGACCCAAGTTGTATTATGTGGCTAGTTGCGTTGGACGTTTAGCCTGTGGTTAATTCTCGCTCAAGCGAGAATTGATTGGGTAACTGCGTTGGACCGTGGTCAATTCTCGCTCAAGCGAGACATCCATCGCTTGAGCGAAGAAACTTATAATCGATCATAATTTGAACTAATTGATCATAATTTTAAAATAATCAGATATACAAAATTATGATTGATTATTTCTCTCTCGCTCAAGCGAAGAAATCTTTCGCTTGAGCGAGAAGACCTGTAACAAATGGGTAATCTCGGATCAATTCTCGCTCAAGCGATGGGTACTTTCGCTTGAGCGAGAAGTGATTGAAATATGTGGTGACCCAAGTTGCATTATGTGGCTAACTGCGTTAGACGTTTAACCTGTGGTCAATTCTCGCTCAAGCGAGAAACCCATCGCTTGAGCGAGGAAACCTGCAACTATTTACAATGCTAAGTCACCCACCCAAGTCAGGATTCTCATGCCTTTCTGATGCACACAAGTAAGGAATCCAATGCTGAGTCACCCACCCAAGTTAGGATTCCAATCTTGGATTCCCTACATTGGGTTAGACAAAAGCAGAAGAATCCAAGCACATTTAAAGAGATGTTGACCCACCCATTTTGCTTGGGTTTTGTGTGCGTCAAAAACCATGTGAGGGAGCATTGGATTCAAACCATTGAACTTCATTATAAATAGACCACTTTCATTCTTTGAAGTTCTCACATTGTACACTCCTAAATCTCTGAAGCTTTTGCATTATTTCTTCTTCTTACCTTTAGTCTTATTTTTGTTCCACATTCCTAAAATGGGTGTAGTGTCTACTATTGTCCATTATGATGGTTTCATGAACCCATGTCCCATGGAAGGAGTTACCTTCAATACTGGGACTGCAAAACTTGTTCCTTTAAAGAGAGGAATTTCTCTACAAAGGTTGAAGAAGTTGATCCACAAAAAATTGGAGAAAGAACCCCACGAAAATGTAGCAACCATCCATTTTCGCTGCCCAACTAGACTCGGAGTTGGGATCAACAACAATGAAGTTGTTGAGTTGAAAGATGATGACGATATGGAGGCCATGTTCGATGTTCATGATTCAAACTCAAGTCTATGTGGTATTGAAATTTTTGTTATATTTAAAACTTCTTCTTCTTCATACCCCAACACACACTCACCTGAAATCTCACCCTCACCCTACCAAGCTTTCCCAAACACTGACCTAGAAATACCCATAGATAATGACTACATCTCTTTTACCCAACTTCTAAGTGGGTCTTCCACCAACATCAACGAAGAACTACCCATACAAGAGAACGAAACTGTTGGCCTCCCAATTGAAGTTGTTGATCCTTTTAGTGAGGACGAAGATGAAGATGAAATTCTCAGCCAACAACAAGATGATGCAGAGGACGGACAACCACATATCCCTATACATGCACCAAACTTCATGGAACCATACAACCCACCACAACATTTTCTTAACTTTGAAAGTCACATTCAACAACAAGACCTAGAGTATGGTCATGCGTTGGACAGAGAGTCTTTTGTTTCTCCGGCAGGAACTCTATTTCTTGGACAACGTTTCATAACAAAAAAACAAGTTCAAGATGTCATCAACCGCTTTCACATTGTCAATCACTGCACATACAAGGTGAAAATTTCAAACCAAAGTAGATATGTTGTTGAATGTGTTGATAATCAATGCAATTGGAGATGTCGAGCAATATTGCGCACAAGAGAGCAATATTGGGAGATTATGAAGCTTGAAGGGCATCATACATGCGTTTCGCCATTAATCAGCCAAGATCACAATAAGTTGGGATATAAAATGATTTCCCAAACAATTGGTCAAATAATTGATGCTGATTCGTCAACATCAATCTCCACAATCATAGCCCACATCCAATTAACAACGGTTATACTATAATGTACAGGAAGGCCTAGTTGGCCAAACAAAAGGCAGTGGAGACCATCTACGGCAATTGGGAGGATTCGTATAAGAAGTTGCCTTGTTTGTTACAAGCCATGCAACAATTTGTTCCCGAATTCATCTACAAACTGCAGTCATAACCAGCTTACCAAGGTGAGGTCCTTCAACAAAATTCAAATATTTTTAAGCGTGTGTTTTGGATGTTTAGGCCATGCATAGATGGATTTGTTCACTGCAAGCCCATTGTTCAAGTGGACAGAACTTTTTTGTACGAAAAATATAGAGGTACCTTGTTGGTTGCAGTAACACAAGATAGTCGCAACAACATTCTCCCCATTGCATTTGCGGTGGTTAAAGGTGAAACAAGTGATGCCTGTTTTTTTTTCTTAAAAAACCTCCAAAGATATGTCACACCCCAGCAAGGATTATGCCTCATATCAGACCAACATGAATTCATTAGAAGTGCATACATGAGAAATGGAAGCTGATTGATAGAAAATAATTTAGTGCATGTCTACTGCATTAGACACATTGCACAAAATTTTATGAGACGTTTCAAAAACACCTCACTAAGGAAAGATGTTGTAAATATGGGTAATTTCTTTGTTTCAAATTTGTTACAATTTATTCATTATTTAATCATTGTTAATAAATATTTATATTAACTATGTTTTTTTAATATTGTTGTAGCATATGGGATGACTGAACCACGAGTTTACTGTTATTACAACATCTTGAGGCAATGTGACATAAATGCAGCTAAATGGTTAGATGAGATACCTAGAGAAAAATGGGCACTTGCATGGGACAATGGACGGCGTTGGGGCCACATGACGACCAACATAGCAGAGTCTATCAACTCTGTTTTAAAAAAAATAAGAAATCTACCTATTTGCTTCATGGTCAACGCAACGTACACCCGTTGCAACACATTTTTCATTGAAAGAGGGAGACAGATAAATGCTATGATCAATGCTGGTCATGTATACTCTAAAATTTTGGTCACAAATTTAGAGGAAGCACAAACACAGGCAAACACGCATAGGGTCATAACTTTTGATAGATCTACCACAAAATTTGTAGTAGAAGAAATACAAAACCCGCGTGAAGTTCGACCAGCAGGGAAGTTTGCAGTTCGCCTTGATGAGTTATGGTGTGACTGTGGGAAATTCCAGAAATTTCACATGCCTTGTTCACATGTTCTTGTTGCATGCAAGCATGCACACCATGACTTCAACAACTATATTCATCCAGTGTATACCTTATAACAATTTTCAAAGGTATACGAAACACAATTTGGGTTGTTGCGAAATGAAGAATATTGGCCAACATACATAGGACCAATTTTGTGTGCAGATCCAGAAATGAAAAGAACTTCAAAGGGCCAACCAAAATCAAGTCGTATAAGAACTGAGATGGATATTACAGAAAATCAAAGTAGGATTAAAAAATATTCATATTGTCATACCCCTGGTCATAGCAGAAGAACATGCCCCAATGTTGCACGTGCATCTATTTCGCATCATTAGATGGTATTAGTTAAAAAATGACCCAATGTATGAAACTTAGGAGTTTTTCAATTAATAAAACTTCTTCTTTGTAGAGTGGGGATTACCTACAATGTAGTAACTCATGAACTCATCTGTTCTTACAGTAAGGATAACTATATTGGCAAAAAATCATAATAGGAATACTAGGTTGTTGCATGAATTGTTAATATCCTTCACTTTAGTCCTTTTATTGTTCAATTTTATTCATGGTTGAATCGAAGATATACTGACAAGTTGCAATTTGCAGTCCAGGGAGTGTATAACTTAAAATTATCAAGGACAAATTTTTGAATACGAAAATAATTAGACAAATTTTTTCATAAAACAATTATTTCAATCAGCTATCGCTTGAGCAAAATTACCCATCGCTTGAGCGAAAAAACACCTGAGATTACCCATTAGTTGTAGGTTTCCTCGCTCAAGCGATGTAATTCTTGCTTGAGCAAGAGTTGACCACAGGCTAAAGCTTCAACGCAGTTAGCCACATAATGCAACTTGGGTCACCACATAATTCAATCAGTTCTCGCTCGAGCGAAATTACCCATCGCTTGAGCGAGAATTGACCACAGGCTAAAGGTCCAACGCTGTTAGTCACACAATGCAACTTGAGTCACCACATATTTCAATCAGTGCTCGCTCGAGTGAAATTACCAATCGCTTGAGCGAAAAAACACCCGAAATTACTCATTAATTTCACCTCTCCTCGCTCAAGCGAAGGATGTCTCGCTTGAGCGAGAGCACTTATCGCTCAAGCAAGACTTTTTTCGCTTGAACGGATTTAAACCCCACAAAACCCTTAAGTTCCATGTACTCTCGCTCAAGCGATTCATTTTTTGCTTGAGCGAGAAAAACGTGAACAATAAACAGTGCTATTTTCGTAAATAATGTTCCGGATATGTTATTTTAGAAAATATTTTTAAAAATAGTATTATCTATGAAAAAAAGTCACGCAAATCCGGCCAAGTGAGTCCTATTAACATAAAATAATTTTATTTTAAAGTAAGGTTTCATTAGTACATTCTTATTATTTAAAGTCATCTTAATAAACATGAATTATAGATTACTTTACGAAATATGACACTACACGGTTTGTCTAATAATCTCATGTTTGGGAAAAAAAGAAAATATTTTATTTGTTTATATTGATATATTATAATGGAAGAAATGAGTGAGTTGATTTAAGAATATAGTATGTGTTTGAATATGCTTAAATTTTAAGAGAAAATGAGAGGAAAATAGTTGTATGTATTTTACCTCTAAACTTGTCTGAATTATAAAAAAATTGAGATAAATAAAAAAATTGAGAACAATGATTATTTTATCTCATGTAGTTTTTATTGTATTGTATATATATAGATTCTCACTTTACATCATTTTAAGATTCTTTTATATCAACGTAAAGAACAATATATACATAAGACATATACACATTTATGTAGCTTGTTATAAATACTCACTATAAAAAGATAAGTATTATCTACAAAATATTAACTACGAATAAAATTTGTAGGTAAAATATATATTACATACGGATATTACTTATGGATTTTATCCATATGCGAATTATCCATTACCTACGGATGTAATAGGTAGGTAATGCTTATTTATTATTTTATCTACTCATTTACCTATGGATGTGTAATTAAAAACAAAAAACAAAATGTTTTTCCCCATTCTTCTTCACTCACCCGTGGCCTTTTCTTCTTCACTCACTTGTGCCCTTTCTTCTTCACTCACCCCCACCCCTTTTATCCCCCATTTTCTCTACATCTCACTCTCCTTCGTGGTCACCACGACACCACCTTCGGGATCAAAACCCGCGAACCCCCTGCCTCCACCCTGGCCGCAAAACCTTCTCCCTGACCAGCCTATGTCGCCTCCCACTTAGATACACGACAACCTCGACCTCCATCGCACCAACCCTAGCCCTCACCGCGACCCACTGCTCCTTCACTCTAGTCTCACCTTCATCGAAACCACCATGCACACCACCATCTTCACGCCTCAACCTTAACTATTGCGAAATCAACAATTCCCTCTCCCCCTCTTATTCCCAGCATCCTAATCCGCTGCCCTTCCCCCATTAGCATGGGTCACGTCTTCCCAATCTCCGTCGTGCTTCCTCCCTGTAGCCACCTCCTCTGCCACCCAAACTGCCCACCGCGTGGCCAACCACCACTGGCCTGAGTCGCGCCCCACCAATTGACCGCCACTATCCCCACCTAAGAACCCAATCTCGCCGTTATTGACCTTCACCGCAGACAAGATTCCCTCATCGTGGGTCATAGTGACCACTAAGCGCGAGCCATTGTGATTTGCATCTTTAGCCCCGCTACAGCTAGCCACAACGCCAATCACCGCACACCTTTGAACTGCCATCTGCGAGTCACCTAGGTGATGTTTTCTCAATTTTATTCTGGCCTGACCCTGTTTGTAATAATTTGGAAGATATGTCCCTCTGTCTGGTTTGAATAGTTGGTTTTCAAGTGTGGGTTTTGATTGGTTCCAATTTGGTTTTGTTTAGTTAATCTGTATTTGTGGATTACGTTGCCTTTTAATTGGTTCCAATCATTTGGTTTGGTTCAAGTGTTACTATTTGGTTCTAATCAGGGGCTATTGAAGCCCTTTGTTGGTTCTGTGTTGGCTACCTAAATTAATATGGACTGAATATAATCAGTTGTGTGTGAGTTTATTCTAAGTTAATTTTTCTATTCCATATTATGTATGACGTTACTCCTTTGCATAATTGACTATATAAATTTCATATGTACAGATATGTCATCAGGAGGGTGTGACTCACCCCAACCTCCCATGTCTCATCCCCAATAAGGGGAAAATAGTAATGAAATGAAAAAGACCACGTTATATACTTAAAGTAAATGTCCCTCCCCCACCCGTAGCTCCTGCACCTATACCTTCTTCATTTGCGGGTGTTGAGAATATACATGCCCATACAGACAATATTGCACCTACAACCACTTCTGCCCCATCCCCAGTCGATGCACCCAACCCTAGTCCATCAATTGTCATTGCATTAGCACCTTCCCTAGGAGCTACATTACCTTCAGTATCATCAGTACCATCACCACTACCTTTAGTCTCACCTACATTACCCTCAAGGTCTCCAGCACTATCACCATTATCAGTGCCTTCTAGAGTCCATCATACACCAACTGGGGAAGACCAAGAAGTGCATATTCAGGAAGGTGATGCACAATCAGACATTAAGGAGGATCATCCACTTGGCACTAATCTTCCTATCATATCACCTTATGGTCTAGGGTAAAAATTAAGTTAAAATTATATCATTCCCAATTATTTGCTAGTATTAGGAAATTTTGTTATAATTATTTAATTTAATTCTTTGTCGAAGGTTCCATTCATGTCGGGTTGCATCACAAGCTATAACAATGACTATTAAGCAACAATATTCTAAATTATGGCTGACATGGGGTTCAATGATTGATGTTGAAAAAGAGACATTCTTTCAGTGGTTTAAAGTAAGTTTTCTTAGATTTAGTCTAATGAATTATTTTTATTACTTACATTCATTGACACAATTATTATTATTTTTTTGTTTATGTCAATCATTTGCAAAGAGAAAGGTCACTTGGAGACCTAAAGATGAGGACAGGATTTGAAAGATTTTTCACTCAAAGGCCTCACATAGGCTATCTGAAATGTTCAAAGATGCTAGAAGGGTAGGAAAGAAGCCCTATTGGATGTTTGGTGATGTGTGGAATGCTTTGTTGAACAAGTGGAACTCAACTGATTATCATGCAAAGTGTGCACAAGCTCAGAAGAATCGAGCTTCTGAGATGGGTGGTAGTTTTTACACACAGGTGGTTCTATTAGTATGCACGCACATGCCATTCGTATGGTAAATATGCAATTATAACAAAAGTTTCTTTCTTTCATTTATTCATAATATGTTATTAAGTAATTTTTTTTGCAGGAAAAGGAGTTGGGTCGTCTTGCACATATTGATGAGGTGTTCAAATAGGCTCATATACAAAAGGTTAATGGTGAATTTGTTGATGAAAGGTCTAGAAAAACTTATGTGAGTTGTAAACTTATTTAATATTACTCTATTACTCTCTTACATGTTATGATGAATGTGTTGTATATAATGTATAATTTTTATTTGTATGTTAATAAGAAGAATTTCAGAGAAGATACTCTCAGGCTAGATCTAAGGCAGCATCATGTGCTCTTGAAATTGATTCATCTCCATTAGATCCTATAAAGGAGGAGAGAATAAGGACTGAAAGTTGGGTTCTTGCTGTAGGTGGCAAAAAAAAAAAAGGTCGGATTTACAGTGTTGGAGAACTTGCCCATAATTTTAGGCCTAGAGATATCCTCTCATATTCAGGATCTACTGATTCTCGTGAGATTATGTAATTAAAGGAACAAGTGCTTAGTTATAGGAAGGATAATGAAAGATTGAGCCGCCAATTATAAACACTTGTCAGTATTGTCCTTCCTTTTCTTCCACCTGATGCTCGACAAACATTTCAACAACAACAATCTTTCCAACAAGGATCACAACAACAACAAGAGCAACAACAATCACAGGAGCAACAACAACAACAACAATCACAACATCAACAACAATCAGGACATTACTTAAATTATTAAGACACTCAAACAATGTTGTCATAATATTTATTACAGTACTTATTTGGATTTATATGTTCTTAGATATTTGAATGACTATTTGATGCATGCTAATATTAGGATTTGTATTGGATATCTGAATATGCACTTGGTGCATATCAATATTATGGAATATTATTGTTAAATTTGATTTCTAAATACTTTGTGTATAATATGCATGTAACAGGTAAAATTTAGTTAAATCAATGGGTGGTGAGGTGAAATTTTTCAAAATTACCTACGGATTCTAGTTTGTAGGTAAATTTGAACGTGTGCATTACCTACGGATTGTAATTCGCCGCGGGTAATTACCTACGGCTTGTAATCCGTGGGTAATTGCTTACAAATTGTAATCCATGGTTAATTACCTACGGACACAATCTGTAGGTAATTACTCACAGACGGCGTTACCTATGGACAGTAATTTTGTAGGTAAATTACCTACGACCATATTACCTATAGAGTTTTTCCCGTAGGAAATCCATAGGTAAAATACATTACCTACAGATTTTTACCATTATCTATGGATTTTTTCCGTAAATAATACAATTTTTTTTAGTGACTCTTGTGACTCAGAATCTCCTTTGAACAAACATTGGTCTTTGTAGACCCCAAATCTTGTCCGGTCGTAAAATAAATGTAGACCCCAAATCTTGCCCGGCCTCCAAATAAAGAGTAGAAGACCTCCTATTCGAAAATGGACGAAGCCTAACAAGCCACTAGGAGAGACTATTAGGCCCCATACTAGGATAGGAGGGAGTTTCGGCACAAAAATAAAGTTTTCTCGCCTTTTTGGGATGAGACCGCCATCTCGAAATCGAGACCGCTGTCTCGCCTCACGCAAATGGCGAGACCGCCGTCTCGCCAAACGAGACGGCGGTCTCGCCACCTACGAATGACGAGACGACGGTCTCGACCCTGTCAGATGAGAACGGCGGTCTCGACCTGTCAGGCACGAAAAACTATAAATAGGGGCCTCCATCCCTCATTTCCAAACACCAACACATTCTCTCCTCCTTCTCTCTAGAATTTCTCTCTCTAGAACCCCTCCAACGCATTTCCGGAGCTTCTGAGTGTCTTTAGAGTGATTTTCGAGCGTTCCGAGAGGTTTCCAGCGCTGTAGAGTGAAGGGTTGCCACAAAGCACCCTCTTTTTTAAAGAGAATTAATAGAAAAAACGTGCTTCTGAGGTTTACATTCTCCCTCTCCACTTTTACCGCTTTATTTAAATTACGCAATAGATAGGGCCATGTAGTCATAATATTTTAATTCCGCAAATAAAAGGGTAAAAGCGTATTTTCCAGTTTATTTATCAATAAAATAGCTGGCCTGTCATAGGGAACCCGAAAGGGGCATCGTAAAGGGACTAATACTCCCTTTACACGTAACTAACTCCCTTACCCAACTCTGGTTCTAATGAACAAAGTTGGTTTTGCGAAAACCAACGCCTTTTAACTCCTTTTCCGATGTTTCCGATAAAAACATCGGTGGCGACTCCACATAACCCTTTCAAAACTAGTTCTTGGGTTAGCCCGGTTATCGGACAACCCAAGAACGCCCTTTCGAAAACCTCGCCCCTAGGTTCAGCCCGGTTATCGGACAACCTAAAGGCGTTGTAACCACCAACAAAAAAAACGCGAAAACAAGAGGGTCGAAACCATTGCGTCGCTCCGACCGCCCTCGTTTTGACGGCAGCGACAGATGGCGACTCCGCTGGGGAAGCCTCGAGAGTTGATCCCATTTAGTGATGGGCCGGCTTAAAAAATAAATAAACCAAGAAAATAACGCTTTTGCCCTACCTTGTATTATAACATGTTTTACGGTTTGACTTTAATAACTGTTGCTTGTTTATACTTACGCAATTGTGTGAAATACAAATTGTATACAAACCCTTGCACACAACAGTTCCCTCTATACCCGGGGGCAAGTGAGAAATCCATAGGGAATGGGTGGCAGGTACGGTTCGCTGTAGTGATGGCCTTTGCCCACCGGTGTGATCGGAAACCACTACTCAAGGTGATAACCTTCCTCTTTTGGCAACAAGACTGACTATGGCCTTAGTGCTAAGCATGGTCGGAAGGCTGGAGAGTGGGGACCCTATAATGGGGGCACCTTGGGGGCCTTAGCCTGGAGAACAGTTAGAACCTACCTTTGCCAATGCACTTTTCTGCAGGAAAACCCTACCTCGTGATTAAAAACGAATTCTCGCCTGTTCATGGATGATTGAATTGTGTGTGCATATGTTTGCTGCATTTGTTTGTTGCATAGCATAAACAAACAACATAAAAAAAAATCACAAAAAATACTTTCGCAATATAAACGCCCTTATCTCGGACAATCTGCCTTTTAGCTAGCCTGATTTCAGGTTCTTTGCAAGCTAAGTAGCCACGCAGTTCTGACAGAAGAGATAAGGGACGCTAATTATTTTTCGCATAAAGCCATTTTTTATCTCGGACAGTCTGCCTTTTAGCTAGCCTAGTTTCAGGTTCTTTGTAAGCTAAGTAGCCACGCAGTTCCGACAGAAGAGATAAAAGGCTATAAAATAAAATAATAAAAATCCAAAATAAATAAAATAATAACAATAAAACATTTATAAAAATAATGTTGACAAAGTCGTATCATTCATATCGCATCATGTCATAAGCGGAAAAACCAAGAGAGAAAAAATGCATAAGGAAAGCATGCATACGCATCATTTTAATAAACCCCTAAAAAATGGGTCTT